CACAACAATTGAGACTTTAAACGTTAGCTTAAAAATGAATTATACAAATAATTTTATTTATGTTTTTTATGTTTTTTTTTTATGATTTCACTATGTCGGAAAAAAACGGGAAATTTTCAGATATGACTTTTTTTAATGATTTGTTTATGGTTGAATTTATGTTTTTTTTTAATGATGAAATTTATGATTTAGTTTCACTTGGTTTCGAAGAAAAAAGTAGAAAAACACAAAAACATAATCAAAAAAAAATCATAAAAAATCATAAAAACATAAAACAAATCATAAAAATATCATAAACAAATCATTAAAAATATCATAAACAATCAAAAAATATGATTTTCTGATTTTTTTTATATTTGTTTTATGATTTTTATGATTTTTTATGATTTTTTTTATGTGCTTTTATTGTTTAATGATTTTTTTTATGATTTTTCATGCCGAGAAAAATAATAAAAAATCATTAAGAATCATAAAACAAACATAAAAAAACTCATAAAACAATCATAAACATGCCAGAACGAAAAAAAAACAAACATAAATTTCATCATATTTTTTCATAAAGAAAAAATCGAAAAAAATCAAATCATAAATTTAATCATATTAAAATCATAAACAAAATAATAAATAAAACTATTTTTAACATAAAGCTCCATTGCTACTATTAAAGTCTCAACACGACAAGCACAACAAACACAACAAGCACAACAAGCACAACAAGCACAACAAGCACAACAAACACAACAACCACAACAACCACAGCAACCACAGCAACCACAGCAACCACAACAACCACAACAACGACAACCACGACAACGACAACAAACACAACAACCACAGCAACCACAGCAACCACAGCAACCACAGCAACCACAGAAACCACAGCAACCACAGCAACCACAGCAACCACAGCAACCACACCAACCACAAAACAACGACAAACACGACAACAACAACAACAAACAACAACAACAACAACAACAACCAGAACAAGCACAACAACCACCACAAACACAACAACCACAACAACCACAGCAGTTACAGCAACCACAGCAACCACAACAAACACAACAAACACAACAAGCACAACAAGCACAACAAACACAACAAACACAACAAACACAACATTAACAACATTAACAACATCCACAACACCCACAACAACCACAACAACCACAATATCCACAACAACCACAACAAACACAACAAACAAACCAAACATAACAAACACAAAAACACAACAAACACAACAAACACACCAAACACAACAACCAATAACACCATAATCATCATCATCATCACCATCATCTTCACCATCACCATCATGATCATCATCGTCATCATCACCATCACAATCACCACCACCACCACCATCACCATCATCATCATCATTATCATCATCATCATCACCATCATCATCACCATCAGCATCACCATTATCATCGTCATCATTACCATCATCATCATCATCATCACTACCATCATCATTATCATCATCATAATCATCATCATCATCACCATCATCACCATCATCATAATCATCATAATCATCATCGCCATCACCATCATCATTATCATCGTCATCATTATCATCATCAGTCTCATCATCATCATCATCGAATCATCATTATTATTATCATTGTCATCATCACCATCATAATCAGCATCATCTTCATTACCATCACCATCATCATCATTATCATCATCATCATCATCATAATCATCACCGCCATCACCATCATCACTATCATTGTCATCATTACCATCATCATTATCATCATCATCATCACCATCACCATCATCATTATCATCGTCATCATTATCATCATCAGTCTCATCATCATCATTATCGTCATCATCTTCATCACCATCACCATCATCACTATCATTGTCATCATTACCATCATCATTATTATCATCATCATCATCTTCATCACCATCACCATCATCACTATCATTGTCATCATTACCATCATCATTATCATCATCATCATCATAATCATCATCACCATCACCATCACTGTGTCAACTGGCACCTCAAAGAGATCGCAGCGTGGTTCAAAGATGGATCTCAGGAAGTCGGCCTTTGCCATCGCATCTGCCAGCGATGGCTTTCCGGTTGCTCCTTGGTGGCCATGCCAAACATGGTTAACTGAGATTACTTGGGGCATTTATTACCACATGTTACACACAGTAAAGGTATGTAAAGGTTCCTATTTCACTCACTTTCCATGTCCAAACATAGCAAGGCAAAGGGGCCCCTTTCGCATCCACCGAGCTTCTTCTGTGGCCGACCAACTTTTTGTTGCTTGTTGTGACCAGCAGACAAGACCACCCTGCTCGAGCGTGTTTTTTTTTCCAGATTTTTGGTGAGTGTTAGGGAAAAATACGGAACGTGAGTTTCCATGACATTTTTGCAGGAACTGAAATGGCCGTAGAGCTACAATCTAATCAAGGAGCCCTGTTTGCTCACAAATAGTTATCGTACATAGTCCATAGGAATCACAAATAGCCCTGTTCCGATCCTCACCTGTTCGGATTTGTTTCCCATTAAGGATTGGTTGTCCCATGGACGGAGTTCTTGTTATCCCCAGTTGATTCCCCAAATCTCATGAGCCTCTCTTTCGGATTGATGGATTGGTACTTTGGGAAAATCAGAGAAATCTTCTGGGAATTGTACTAGAGACTATCAACAAAATGATATCTTTGGGGAAGACATTTCAAATCAATATGTAGGCCCTCCAAATATCTACAAAAGTGGATAACAATTGTATTTGGGTACTACAAATTAAAGGCTAAAAACCATACCCACTCAAATCTCAATAGGCACAAACGGAGGGATAGGTACAGACTAAAACGAATACTTCAGATGGGCGAATTTTATTGAATTTTCACAGATTTTACAATTTATCATTTTATACATTTAAAAACAAATACGCAAACACAAATACAAATACACATGCATACATACATATTATATAAATATGTTTACATATATATATATTACTGTATAAAAGCAAAAAAACGATTTGATCTTTTGAGGGAAGAGATGGGCAGCGGACCTGCACGAAAGGTGCGGTACAGGTTCCACATATATATTATATGATATATATTATATATTATATACAATATATAATGTCTAATAATGAATTATATATAATATGTAATATATAATGTATAATAGATATATATAGATATATATATAATATATTCTATGTCATGTACAATACATATCTATATAACATATCATATATATAATTTAAAATATATAATATATATAATATATCATATAATTATATAATATATTATATACAATATATATAATATTTATAATATATATATATTATATTATATTATATTATATTATATTATTTATTTTGTATGTAAATAGATCTAATATTTTTAATATATCTCAACTATATACTATATAAACAATATTATACATAAATTACATAACATAGAGATAAATATATATATATATATATATATATCACATATATAACATATATAATATATCTAATATCTACAATATCTATAATGTCTATAGTATAACATATATATATATATCACATATTATAAATAATCTATATTATGGATGATATATATATATATAATATTTATAATGAATATATGGTATAATATATATTATAATTGCCATAGATAATATATTTTTAAAATATATCTAAAATATATACTTTATATAAACTATTGAATATATATAATTTACATAACATAGATAATATGTATTTATAACATATATAACATCTTTAATATATACAAAATCTATAATATCTATAATATATATATATATGTATACAATTTATTATATATAATATATAATTTAAAAATTATACATAACATATATAATATATGATAAACATATATATATATACAATATAAAATATATAATTTATAATAATAATAATATATCAATATAAAGCATAATATATATATATATATATGCTGGGGTCTCTTAGGTCTATTGATCCCATCTACTACTTGGGGATGGTTTGATATGATTTGGTTTACATGAATGTTGGAAACATGTAAATTTGAGCCTTTGAGCCTTTAGTTAATAAGCACTTGGGCTAGGACGATTCGACCAGCAAAAAATGTGGCAGAACTGGCTAGGATCAACCATCCCCACATGGCCGAACGCACTTCCGGTTGAATGGAAGTGAATGTGGATCTGAAATGTGTGTATGATTTATCGGAATTTATCCAGTAGAATCCAATAGTTTCAGGGATTTAACATGATTTAACTACCAGCTCATGGAATCTGCCATAAATGTGAGGGATGTGTTAAATCCAACGCGTTTTTTTCCTTCGTACAATTGGTGGAGATGTACCACCCAGTTTTGGAAAAGGCACGTAGATACAATCCTTTCAATGGCACTGCTTTGCAATGTGAAACATTTGAGATTCACCACACAAATTGATTTCCCAGACACATAGAATGCAATGTTTGAGGCATTTATCCTTGCCGCAGGCAGAAACATTCCCCAAGTGGAAAGGGTTCCATGTCTGGTCGATTATCCATGGTATCCATGTGTCGTTTTCATGTTGGAAACCTTTTTTTCCCCACCTGCCAGGTGAGGGTTGTTAGATTTTATGTCAGTTGCCTCCTCCTCCTGCCTCGTCCTCCTCTCCTCCTCCTCCTCTCCTCCTCGTCCTCCTCTCGTTGTCCTCCTCCTCTCGTTGTCCTCCTCGTCCTCCTGCTCAACTGCGACTCGCGATCCACAGTGTTCGCTGTCGGACCTCAACCACGACCATCCACGCCCAGTGTTCCCTGCCGGACCTCAACCGCGACCATCCACGCCCAGTGTTCCCTGCCGGACCTCCACCACGACCATCCACGCCCAGTGTTCCCTGCCGGACCTCAACCACGACCATCCACGCCCAGTGTTCCCTGCCGGACCTCAACCGCGGGTATCCGCGCCCAGTGTTCCCTGCCGGACCTGAACCACGACCATCCACGCCCAGTGTTCCCTGCCGGACCTCAACCGCGAGGATCCATGCCAAGTGTTCCCTGCCGGACCTCATGTAGGAAGATAAAATGTCAGATAGAGTGCCAGAAGATTTGCCAGGTAGAATGCCAGAAAATATGCCAGAAGATATGCCAGATAGATATGCCAGAAGATATGTCAGAATATATGCCAGAAGATATGTCAGATAGAATGCCAGAAGATATGTCAGAATATATGCCAGAAGATATGCCAGATTGAATGCCAGAAGATATGTCAGATAGAATGCCAGATTGAATGCCAGAAGATTTGCCAGATAGAATGCCAGAAAATATGCCAGAAGATATGCCAAATAGAATGCCAGATAGAATGCCAGAAGATATGTCAGAATATATGCCAGAAGATATGCCAGATAGAATGCCAGATAGAATGCCAGAAGATTTGCCAGATAGAATGCCACAAGAAAATGCCAGAAGATATGCCAGATAGAATGCCAGAAGATATGTCAGATAGAATGCCAGAAGATTTGCCAGTAAGAAAATCTATAAATGTCATGGTGGGGATCACACGAAGTAAAGTAATTTCCCCTAATATATTCAACACCCATCCAGAAACCCTGGTATAGTAAGGGGTCTACACAGTTGGGACCTTGGGGGGTGATGAATAGGATCGGAGTAGACATGTTCGGGTTGCATGACACGATGTTGAATTTCTGAAGTGACTTGTAGCCACGGGAAATCCTACTCTCGACCAATTAAAGCCACCGTTTGCAAAGCGGTTTAGGACACTGCTCTACTTGGATTGAGCACCATCAGAAACCAGGATATGACCACGGATTTTTTTCACGGAATCCGGGCGCTTTTCGGTAGGATAGATAGGCTAGTCGTGTGCAAATGCTGGTTTCAGAAGTGACTTCGGAAAACAACGCATAATGAAGGCTTAAATGATTGAAGCTTCGATTCTGCTGGGTTCAGTTGGCAAAACTTGGAGGGACGTAAGATTTCGCTTGAAGAGAGGCAACAAAGCCTTGTAACCATCGTAACCCTGCTGAACTATGGAATTGAGGGTCACTGGTTTTTGATACACTCAGCGGCATAGCGTTCCAACCGAGCAACTTACAAATTAGCGATGCAACCTGTAGATAGTTGTTTGTTTGCTTACATCTACAAGAGCTATACGGTGATACGGTGGAAGAGTATCCACAGTTGAATGGGTTTATAGATCTTCCATGAGTTAAATGCATAAAACCACTGGTGCGCCCACATGCAGTTTCAACATGTGAATTTTTGCAAGTTTGGTTTAGGGCCAAGGTCGGCCACCGCGCAAGCTCCAATGCAGCCCTCCAGGTAGCTAGGTTTATAACATGTTCTGACTCCGGAATACACTAGAATAGCATTTATTTTTGCAAAACTGTATGGATTATATGTATTATATTATATATGAATAGCTTTTATATGTACACACATACAGATCTACCAGTCTACCAGTATGTATGCTGTATAGCGTAATCCCAAATGTTAGCCAATTTTCCTGAACCACCGTCCTCGCAGGTGAGATTGGGTGGCGATGCCCGCCAGCTTTTCCAGCCAATGAAAAGCACCAAAGCCCGAGCTGTGTGGAATGACTTCTGTGAGTCAGTCCCTTGGCAGATTCACTGAGGCTCAATGCCAAAATCCTGGCCGCTCTGTTTGCATATCTTCCAAGGCTATTTTTGGATATACTCCAGTTTTAACATATATGTATGTGTTGTGCATTTATATTTTGTAAAAGATATTTATACATGTATTTGCATAGGTGCAATTTTGACATATTTGATGCGTTCAATTGTGCGCAGACACGGTTACATTACCTTGCCTTACCGTGCCTTGCTTTGCCTCACCTTGCCTGCGCCTTCATCTTTCCATTGCAGTACATACATGTGACATGTGCATGTGTTGAGGTGAGCAGTGTTCAAACATGTTCAAACCCTTGTTGGTTGGTGATAACTTGGATTTATACTATCAGTTTATGGCTGGGGTATCATCACGACCCCGTATGGGAACTCTTTTGCACCAGCCAGTATATAGGGAAGGCCGAGGGCTTTGAACACTGCTCATGTATATACAAAGAAATTCATTTATATTCATCTCTCTATCTATTTGTCTGTCTGTCTGTCTCTCTATCTATCTATCTATCTATCAATCTATCTATCTATCTATGTATTTATGTATGTATGTATATGTATATATTTCGACCATTAAATACATATATGACTAATACACCTACCATAGATGTCTATCTCTGCAGTGTATATGTATATATATATATATATATATCCGGCTACCAATAGGTATAGATTATCTTTGATGCAGATATAAATGCTCATGTATACATTTAAACATAGCCATAGTCGCCCACCATCCCAGGTATCGATAGGTGAATTCTTCAATACTGGACGCGGAGGCACTGCTCAGCTGGAGAATGTGGAATTGAACCTGCCGGCAGGTGAATTTGCTTATGTGGAACAGTTTCATGGCTGATTTGCGCGATTCACTCACCTATTTGACCCGCAGTTGCCATACAGTGACATACACCCCAGGTGTGGGATGGTTTCGTGTTGGATCCCACATCTGTAATGTCATTAAAAATGCATATATACATACATATTATGTTCGATATACTTCCCCACATCTTTGTGTGGGGTTCTTGTTTTTGGTTCTGCACTCCTGCCTTCTCCTGCCCTCCTCCTCCTTCCGCTCACACACAACTTGTCCACACACCACTTGTCATCACACAACTTGCTCACACACACCTTGTCCTCACCAACTTGTCCTCACACAACTTCTCCACACACAACTTGTCCACACACATCTTGTCACCACACAACTTGCTCACACAACTTACTCACACACAACTTGCTCACACACAACTTGTCACCGCACAACTTGTCACCACACAACTTCCTCACACACAACTTGTCACCACACAACTTACTCACACATAACTTGCTCACACACAACTTGTCACCACACAACTTACTCACACATAACTTACTCACACACAACTTGTCACCACACAACTTACTCACACATAACTTGCTCACACACAACTTGTCACCACACAACTTACTCACACACAACTTGCTCACTTACTCACACACACAACTTGCTCACACACAACTTGTCACCACACTTTGCGTGGCAGGCGTGGCACTTGGTGACATCGACCTTCACTTTGCGTCGCAGGCGTGGCACTTGGTAACATGGACGTGCACTTTGCGTGGCAGGCGTGGCACTTATGGCACTGGGCTGGCTCTGGTGGCGCGCTTGGGTCCCAGTTGACGCAGTGGACGCCGCGGCTTTTTGCGTGGCAGGCGTGGCACTTGGTGACATGGACTTGCACTTTGCGTGGCAGGCGTGGCACTTGGTGACATGGATCGTCACTTTGCGTGGCAGGCGTGGCACTTATGGCACTGGGCTGGCTCTGGTGGCGCGCTTGGGTCCCAGTTGACGCCCTGGACGCCGCGGATTTTGCGTGGCAGGCGTGGCACTTGGCGACATCAACCTTCACTTTGCGTGGCAGGCGTTGCACGTGGTGACATGGATGTGCACTTTTGCGTGGCATGCGTGGCACGCGTGGCATGCGTGGCACTTATAAGCACTGGGCTGGCTCTGTTGGCGCGCCTGGGTCCCAGTTGACGTCGTGGAGGCCGGGGCTTTTTGCGTGGCAGGCGTGGCACTTGGTGACATGGACTTGCACTTTGCGTGGCAGGCGTGGCACTTGGTGACATGGATCGTCACTTTGCCTGGCAGGTGTGGCACTTATGGCACTGGGCTGGCTCTGGTGGCGCGCTTGGGTCCTGGTGGCGCGCTTGGGTCCCAGTTGACGCCGTCGACGCCGCGGCTTTTTGCGTGGCAGGCGTGACACTTGGCGACATCAACCTTCACTTTGCGTGGCAAGCGTGGCACGTGGTGACATGGACGTGCACTTTGCGTGGCAGGTGTGGCACTTATGGCACTGGGCTGGCTCTGGTGGCGCGCTTGGGTCCCAGTTGACGCCGTGGAGGCCGCGGCTTTTTGCGTGGCAGGCGTGGCACTTGGTGACATGGACTTGCCCTTTGCGTGGCAGGCGTGGCACTTGGTGGCACGGATCGTCACTTTGCGTGGCAGGCGTGGCACTTATGGCACTGGGCTGTCTCTGGTGGCGCGCTTGGGTCCCAGTTGGCGCCGTGGACGCCGCGGCTTTTTGCATGGCAGGCGTGAAACTTGGCGACATGGACGTGCATTCTGCGTGGCAGGCCTGGCACTTGGTGACATGGACGTGCACTTTGCGTGGCAGGCGTGGCACTTATGGCACTGGGCTGGCTCTGGTTCCCAGTTGACGCCGTGGGTGCCGGGGCTCTCTGCGTGGCAGGCGTGGCACTTGGCGACATGGACCTTCACTTTGCGTGGCAGGTGTGGCACTTATGGCATCTGGTGGTGCGCAACTTATTCCACACACACAATTACACACACACACACACAACTTGTCCACACACAACTTGTCCACGCACAACTTGTCCACACACAACTTACTCACTAACAACTTGTCCACACACAACTTGTCACCACACAACTTACTCACACACAACTTGCTCACACACAACTTGTCACCACACAACTTGTCCACACACAACTTACTCACACGCAACTTCTCCACACACAACTTGTCCACACACAACTTGTCACCACACAACTTCTCCACACAACGTACTCCCACACAACTTCTCCACACACAACTTGTCACCACACAACTTCCTCACACACAACTTACTCACACACACACACAACTTGTCACCACACACAACTTACTCCCACACAACTTCTCCACACACAACTTGTCACCTCACAACTTACTCACACACAACTTCTCCACACACAACTTGTCACCACACAACTTGCTCACACACACAACTTGCTCACACACAACTTGTCCACACACAACTTGCTCACACACAACTTGTCCACACACTCACACTCACACACAACTTACTCACTCAACTTTGTCACATACAACTCTTTCACACACAACACTTTTACATACACAAACTTACACACACAACACTGTCGCACACAGCTCTTTCACCCAACCTGTCTTGCACCATCTCCTTTCCTTCCTGCCTTTCCCATCTCATTTTCACATCTGCTTGGTGATCATTGGAAGAAGTTGATTTGTGGGGTTATCCGGACCTTTAATTGAAATTAAGCTGCCCATTTTTGTGCCCATATTTTTCGGGTGAATTCCCCAATATTGTATCCCTATTTTGACGTTACAGACAAGGTACCATCACTGAGATACTAACGTCCAGGACAGTACATGCTGCTTATTTGGGCGGATCCAAAAATTGTAGAACTCCAACAGTAGAACAGACACGAACAGACATTCCATTCCATGAGCCCCATCATGGTATTCAAGGATTGCCAGAGCCATTAGTCGTGGTAAACGAACATCATGGATTATCATGAACGTATACACATGAAACTAATGAAATGATGAAATGCGTGGATTATGTTCTGCTCTCTTCAAAATTATGTCCCAGCCGGATGGGTGAATCCCCTGTCGAAACATGTTGAAACACAATCTTACCTGGAATATACAACACACTAGTGGGGGATATTCAAAGTATAGAGGTGTACTGCGGACATCATTCTTGTTACATCCTGGATTCTGCACTACTGCTGCGCCGAGCCTAGGTTCCAAGGAAAATTGGGCAACCCCATTGACTGTTTGGTCTACGTGAAGCATGTGGAGCTCGACGACTGCCCATATTTGTTGGGCTTGTATTCCTACCTCCCCGATGGTCACTACAACCTTGAGGCTGAATTCCCCAAAGTGGTTGCTCAGGTGGGTTGGGATTGAGCGGTGGGAATCTTGAAATTCCCTCGAAAAAACGCCGAAAAACGTGTAATTTGAAGGAGCTAAAGGCCGGGGTTAGATCAGGGTGCTCCATCTGGGGCGCGGCATTTAAATGTTCCATTGTGAGATGTCCATGTGCATTTCGACTGCGCAGGCTCGCACAAGATGAGCGCCGTGGTTTTAGTCTTCATTCGAAATTCTCGCATAGACGGTTTCTTCAGATGTCCATGTATATTTCGAGTGCGCAGGCTCGCACAAGTTGGGCGGCGCGGACAGGATGCTCCATCTGCTCTGCGGCATTTTCAATGTAAATTCTCGCCTTGTGCCCTTGTGAGCCGTGCATGTGCATTTCGAGTGCTTGCTTGTATGAAAGCTCTTCTGGGATGATCTTGGGAGGTTCTTGCATTTCAATCTTGCTTGATTCCCTCCAGCAGCAGCAGGTCCTTTTATGACGATCTTGTGACATTATCTTCGGGTCCTGGCGCGAAGATCTTTGCAATTATTCCTTGTGCGGGGATCTTGTAGAGATCCTGGTGAAATCCTCTCGGGGGTCCTTGCATGATCTTGTAAAGGTCCTTGTTAGAGGATCTTGCGGAGAGCCCCGTGCAATGCTGCCAGAGGCCTTTGCATGATCTTGTGCAGGTCCTTGTGGAAAGATCTTGAACATTCTTGAACAGTTCCTGGTTAAATTCTCTAGATGCTTCTGCATGATATCGTACAGGTCCTTGTGAGAAGATCTTGTGGAGATCCTGTTTCGATCCTCCTCAAGGGGTTCTTGCATTAAGATCTTGAAGATGGTCTTTGCAATGGTGCTTGCCTGAAAGTTCTTCTGGGATGCTCATAGGAATTTCTTGTCTGAAGATCTTGTGAGATCCTCTATATAGAACGTCCTTCTCTGAACTTCTTTGACAATCTTTTGAATTCTCTTAGATGTCCTGCTCCGAGGTTCGGGTATGAGGTCCGGATGAGTAGACATAGCGTTGCTTTTTGCGCCAAAACAAGTTCCTGCTTCTGCAGCTCCATTCCTGTCTAGCCTGCTCTGTCACTGTTCCATAGCTACTGTTGCTTGTATCTGGTACATTGACTTCCTATCCCCCACACTGTTTGGGGCCGCCGGTGTAGTTTGTTAATTTCGCAGTGGGGCTTCCGAAAAATGTGTTGTGGGTCTCCTTCCTTCGGTTCCTTCGGTTGTCCAAATGGCCAGGTGGACGGTGTCGTTTACGAGCTGGCCTCCGAATTCTTCTACCACGCTCCCATGCATCGCCAGAGAAACGGAGACAACAGCCCGCAGAAGTGGCAGATGCCGCATGGCTGAGTCATTTACCAGTCAGGTGCCTTAAAATAGCTGGCTAATGGATGCTAATGGATTAATGTTATTCCCCCAAATATGGTGTTTTTAGGTTTTGACATGTTTTGACCCATTCCCATCTATATATATATAAATAATTGTGTTTTATATTGATAATATAGTAGCAGTAGTTAATAATGATAATAGCACTAAAAAATATGCATTAATTTTTGAAAAATGATATTAATGATACGTGACAATACCCATAGTAATTGCTATATTCATAGTACAATATACATACCACTTATACAACAGTATATATATATATATAAACAGTAGATATGTTGCTATACATGAGATATATGAGGTGGAATTTTCCACTCAAATAACCAAAACCAGACTTGTTCAGAATGCAACCTGATGGGTTTCAGCTTAGAATCCAGCGAATCAGATGACGACTCGAGGTATCCCATGTGCTCGGACAATATACCGATATGCCTTCTAACATCCTATTGTTCTGCCATGAATTCAGAGAGATGATCCGAGATGTTCTGTTATCTTGTCGGTAAATTATTATGATTCATGACATGTTCTACCAACATTTTTCCACGATGTTCCCACATATTGCCTTCTGCATTTTTCTGCGCCATATTCTGACATAATATTTGATTGAATTCTGACACATTATTTGGGATCTATTCTGGCATTTGTTCTGACGCATATTCAAAAACATATTCAGACATCATATAACATTTTATTTGGGGCATACTGTGGCATTTTTGTGATTTCCTGCTGTAGACTGACATGTTGTTTCGCATATGGGGTTCAGTGGTGAACACAGCACTGCATTGGGCTGAGTTCCAATGCAGGACTAAGATTTGGACAACTGACTATTGAGTTCAGGCTGGGGTTTCTTTGAACATGGGGTGTATATACCCCCGAAATGGTCATTTTGCCAGAAAGAAATGGTGATACGCCAGTTTTGCTATCTCCTATGTTTGGCTTGGAATGTAATTGGATTCATTGGACTGGGGCCATTCAGCCAATATTTAAGCGTAAGATGATAAGTTGCCTTTTTATGTAATTACTTACTATTATCATACACACATATATATATATATATTTACACATATATATATATATATATGTAGATTGATTATGTTAGATTATTCAATGTAATTTTAGTGTATTTGTTTTATTTGTGTATGTATCAAAGTGATCCCAATAGTGATTGATTTCTTCATTTGGAACAAAACCCATCACACTTCAGGCCCCTGTGAAGCCACGGTTGGTTTGTTTAACCAACCATTATAGATAGATAGTCGATTCAGCATTTCTCGCATTCTATTCATGATTGGCTGAAAAAGGATATGATACGTTTGAGAAGCGGCACTTAATTTTGTTAATTGTGTCTGTTTACCTTTGCGCACCCTGCACAACATACTGATCCCATGTACCATAGCATTGCTGAGGATGGATTCAGCCTCAGCGGCACATTAGACGCAGTGAGTTAAGACAAGCGGCATGGTCCAAGACTTTTCCAATGTCTGAAGAATTTGGATATGTGGGTTTACATCCTTGGCAAGTGAAATGCAGCGAAATCCTTGGAATCCTTGTGGGTTTCTGGCATCCAGAAACTCAGTGGCCATGCCCCATGATGCCAGTGTGATTTACGACCGATTCGGTCATTTCAGCTGCACAGGGGGCAGGATCACCAGCATGGAAGTGGATAACTAGTGTCGACAGAAAGTTCAATGGAAGAAACTGCTGTTGTTTGGAACCCATTTTTGAATCCTGGATATTTGTTTTATGCGATCTGGAGGACCGTCTATATATACATATCGAATATATAGATTATTCCAATTATTCTTATTCTTATTATTATCATTATTGTGTATTATTGTTATTATTATAATATTCTATGTATATATATATATACAGCAAACATGCAGCGTGCACCCATGACTGAAGCCTCGGCTTGCTAAGCTCTGTGCTGGTGCTGCCTTTGAGGAGCATTTGGTGCAAACTGCATCAAAGGACGTTCTGTGTGTTTCATGCTCGACTGACTTGCACAGATATTATGTCAGCAGCAACGATTTCGACGACTCGAAACAAGCAAGGACTTTTCTTTTCGGTTCCGATGCAGGTCCAGCGGACATATCTTTTTGTGTACCCACGCATATGCAGAAATCATGGTCAGAAATGTGCACCTACATGTTCCCTGCAAACCCCACGTTCGCCCACACCCAAATAACACATCCAAACAATATCATATACTCGTCACCAGGGGATGAATGAAAACACTGGCTATACGCAGCGATTTTGACTTTAGGTTTTCAGGATTTAGAGTTTTAATTTAGGGTTTAGGGTTTTAGAGTGTTTTAGGGAATTTAGGGAATTTAGGGTTTTTAGGGTGTTAGGTTTTGGAAAGTAAAAAACGCTAGCCCTACGAAGGGATTGAGCATGTCAAAGGATATGCGGGATCCGTGGCGGGCAAACGTGGGGTTTGCAGCGTTCTTGTTTTCACATGTTTCTATGTGACATATAGTTGTTTAATATATATATATATTAGGTGTAAATATATGTATAATAATATATATTAATATATGATACTATTATTATATATAACATTATATATATATATATATGTCATATGTACATGTGTATATTTTAACTACCTTACATTTCGACATGAATCCAGAGGTTAAGTCATGGCAAGATAGGTTGGGCTTGCCAGTCATATCAAAGACGGGAGTTCTGACGGTTTCATCGGGCTGAGTGAAGATGTTGATGTGTTGAATTGGCAAAGGGTTCAACCATCATTAAAATACACGTTGCAGGATACAACATATCAAAATGAAGTGCTGTATAATACATGTTGCAACCAATTCGGTGGGAACCAGTTGTTTGTGTGTCATGTCATGTTTCATGTTTGCTTCTCAATACATATAGCCCCCAAAACCATCTCCTATTGGTTGCCCATGGTTTCCCCATTCATCACCTATTCATCACCTATAAATGTGAACATTCATTTGGATGAACCCCATGGGTCCCCAGTGGAAGTCCTCCTGGCCATCCCCAGCTGCGATCACCCAGCTGCTATTCTGTGTTTTCGCTGGACGTGCTGATGCCGAGGTATATCGGACTTTGAAGATTTCAAGTGGTCGTGGGTCAAAATGTTCTGGAAAAAACATGAAAAAACTAAAACATGGCTTGGAAAATCAAGGGATCTTACACCAGATCTACACTGCAGCAACGGAGTTGCTGTGAAATGTCTGGAGGAAATTGGTTGTTTAACATTTGAATGACAGAAAATTGGGATTCAATTATCGATGATTGAGATTTCATCACGGGAAATGTGAACTGAAAGGAAACATGGCTGTTACGCCACACACATGAAGATGTTTTCCTGCTAGGCGGGTACAGAAGGGCGCAGCAATGATATTCACAGACCAGCATGGGAACATAGCGGCAACAATACCGGAATATTTATCAACTGAAGTACAGTGGGATTCGCCCAGTGCCAAGAACAATGCCCACTGACTCACCGGAAAATGGGTGTTATAAACGTAAAATTGAAGCTTCATGGCATTGGGTGAATCCCACATATCATCGAAGTTTAGGGGTTGCCAATGACTTAACAATTCCTTTGTTTTTACATATTTTGACCCATCTCCGCAAATGCGTTTCCAGTTTCCAGCTAACGGGGAGCGGCAGTCAGAGACTCTGGATAGATCTGGATAGATGATCACCAGCAATGGCGGTCAAAATGCACAGATGAGGTGGCGATGTTTAGCTTTAACATGAATGCATTTTTGGGGGTTGGGAGTTCCGAACTGTCAGACATTCCTTGGGTTCGGCGTGCTACAGACCTCTCACAGTTGAAAGTGGGACTAAGTGACTGTTACTGGGTTCTAGGATATCCCAAGATTAACTCCGTTTCTTTTCAACCAGTTTTGTCCAGCTTTGATGGTTCGCAACCAGTTTTCTATGATCACCCATTTTTGGTTGGTTTGTTGTGGGATCACCAACAAGAGGTCATTACTACCTGAAGGTTTGACTTTTTGTAAGACGACAATTCCAATTGACTTTCAGTTTTTTCGGGGGCAAGGGGGGTCAAATACCAAATTTATTCCACGTTTTGTTCGTAAAAAACCAAAAACCAAAACAACGGGAGACACGATGAAACACCGATTATACTTCTGGTAAAGCAAATGTTTCCTCTAGTTTGGTATAAAATGAATTAATACATTTAACTAGACACCCGTCTCTTTTGGATGGGTTGTGGTCAGTCTGACTGTGAGCCTTCAGAAGCTGCCGAGATCCAAGATGTCATTGTTTGGCGCAAAATACAGAACATCTGTGCTCCCTCGGGGTCTGCAAGTGCAACAACACTGTGTAGCGATAGCCCCCCCAAGCTGATATGCACCAAGTTGCGCACATGCGAGAGCCGACATTAGCGATACCCCTAGCGATACCTTAGCGATACCGGCCCACTTGTTCAAAAATAGCTCCTTTTATTTCCTTTCCTTTTCTTTTCCCTTTCCTTTGCTCTCCCTTTTGTCTTCCTCTGCTCTTCCTTTTCTTTTCTATTCCTCTTCCTTTCCTCGTCCTTTTCTCTTCCGTTCCTTTTGCTTCCCTCTGCTCTTCCCTTGCTTTTCTATTCCTCTTCCTTTCCTCGTCCTTTTCTCTTCCAATCCTTTTCCTTTCCTCTTACTCTGCTCTTCCTTGGCTTTTCTATTCCTCTTCCTTTCCTTGTCCTTTTCTCTTCCGTTCCCTTTACTTTCCTCTTACTCTGCTCTTCCTCTCCTTTTCTATTCCGTTCGTTTTCTCCTCCTTTTCTCTTCCGTTCCTTTTCCTTTCCTCTAACTCTGCTCTTCCTTTGCTTTTCTATTCCTCTTCCTTTCCTTGTCCTTTTCTCTTCCGTTCCTTTTCCTTTCCTCTTACTCTGCTCTTCCTCTCCTTTTCTATTCCTCTTCCTTCCCTCGTCTTTTTCTCTTCTTCTTCCTTTTCCTTTCCTCTTACTCTGCTCTTCCTTTCTTCCTTTGCTTTTCTATTTCTCTTCCTTTCCCCTGTCTTTTATTTTCCTTTCTTCGTTCTTTGCTTTTCCTTCTCTTATATAGATTTGTTCCTCCATCATCCTCATAAATACAAAGCCATGGTTTTAATGGTTGGTGATAGAGTTCCCCCAAATAACGATTCCATTTTTTGAGCAAGGCAAAAACACGAGGTCTTTTTGGCCAATATGCACGTGCACTCGCTCACATGTTTGTACTGTATGTGTTATATTATTATATATATAATTACTTATATATATATATATACACATATATATATACACATGCCGCTATATACCTACTCTCCATGTCAATGTGCATGAAAAAACAAGTCATGGCAGCCTAGTTTTCCTAGAGGGTGCGCTTGTCAGTAATGTCAAAGACAGGAATTCTGGTGGTTTCATCGAGATGAGTTTGTGACATGAGAGTTCCAATATGTTGATGTTGAATTGGCGACATCATAACACATGAAATAAAAGACATGTTGAGACGAGTTGGAACCTGCTGTGTTCTTGTTGGGTCGTATGATGTTTCATATGCGCTTCTCAATATATATATATATATATATGGCATCCAGCCACTTCCCATTGGTTGCCAATGGTGACGGACATTCACTTGGACCATGGGTCATGGATGTCCTCCTGGGTGCGGTTCTGTTATTCGCTCGACATGCTGATACTGACACGTATTGGACTTCGAAAATTTCAAGTGGTCGTGGGTCAAAATGTTCTGGAAAAAAAACTAAAACATGGCTTGGAAAATCAAGGGATCTTACACGAGATCTACACTGCAGCAACGGAGTTGTTGTGAAATGTCTGGAGGAAATTGGTTGTTTAGCATTTGAATGACAGAAAATTGGGATTCAATTATCAATGATTGAGATTTCATCACGGGAAATGTGAACTGAAAGGAAACATGGTAACATGGCTGTTACGCCACACACATGAAGATGTTTTCCTGCTAGGCGGGTACAGAAGGGCGCAGCAATGATATTCACAGACCAGCATGGGAACATAGCGGCAACAATATATTGCGGAATATTTATCAACTGAAGTACAGTGGGATTCGCCCAGTGCCAAGAACAATGCCCACTGACTCACCGGAAAATGGGTGTTATAAACGTAAAATTGAAGCTTCATGGCATTGGGTGAATCCCACATATCATCGAAGTTTAGGGGTTGCCAATGACTTAACAATTCCTTTGTTTTTACATATTTTGACCCATCTCCGCAAATGCGTTTCCAGTTGACGGGGAGCCGCAGTCAGAGACACACTGGATTGATCTGGATAGATGGTTACCAACGATGGCGGTCAAAATGCACAGATGAGGTGGCGACATTTAGCTTTGACATGGGTTTCTGGATGCATTTTTAGGGGTTGGGAGTTCCGAACTGTCAGACATTCCTTGGGTTCGGTGTGATACAGACCACTCACAGTCGAAAGTGGGACTAAGTGACTGTTACTGGCTTCTGGGATATCCCAAGATGAACTCCATGTTTCTTTGGAAATTTTCATCCGTTGCGACGCTTGGCAATCCGTTTTCTATGATTACTTCCTGGTTTGACATATTGTTTCCTTTTGAGTATACCTGGGAGATGATAATTCCAATTGACTTCAAGTTGTTTAGGGGTCAAGGCAGTTCAAATACCAAATTGCCAAATTTATGTAATGTTTTGTTCGTAAAACACAAAAACAAAAACAGCAGGAAACACCATGACACACCGATTATACTTCTGGTAAAGCCAAGTCATATTTTCCTTCGAAGTTGATTTAATTTCATACATTCAACAAGACACCCGTCTTTTGGATGGGTTGTGGTCAGTCTGACTGCGGGCCTTCAGAAGCTGCCGAGATCCAAGATGTCATTGTTTGGCGCAAAATACAGAAAATACATTATGGAAGAGAGCATGTAACTGGGATGATTGTAGAGAGTTCAGGAAAGACGGTGATGACTTGCGGGAAAAGGTTTTGATGATTTGGGGGAACATAGAGATGAATTATGGGATGTGTTGGTGGAAAGTTGACGGGAAACTCTACAGAAAACAATGATTTTGCTTGATGAAAGATGGAAGTGTTCCTACAAATTACCGTGAAGCTTAAACCTTGGACGACTTGAATTTAAGCGCACTTTCAGCTACCGCAAAAGTGGCTGTTTACAGCTGTTTTCGCTATTGTCGTGAATGGATGTTTTCGGGTCTTGCAACGGCCTCCCAAGCTATTCTGGCCAAAATCCTTCCCTTGACCATGTGTGGGACAAGTTCACAGATGTTGTCGCCAAATCCCAGACCATTCACACTTGTCCATCGTGTGCTGGAGCAAAATAACCACCAGGAGGTGGGTAGACATTTCTCACTAAGTGCCGCAAAGATTTCACAACATGTTTCATATTTTGTGGGTTCGCAAGTTGGTCAAAACGAGGTGCCAAACGTGTTCATATATATATATATATATATATGATTCTACCGAGAAGTTACGAAGATTACAGTCAGTATGTCTCCATTTTGCGCCAATTCGATGAAATTTGGTCCTGCAAGTTCTTTTCGACGCTCCAATGAAGCATCCATTGGAAAAAATCGCCGTGCTAGGCAAAGTGGTTTTCAAGACTCTGGAGGCCACAGAAGCTAAAGGGATCCCTAGGTATTGCCAATTGCTGTGGCTTAAAGCATGCTTAAAGCATGCTAGTTCACAGGTTCACCCAATTCGTAAACCCTCCAATTTTGAGGGTTCCACTTTGTTGTTTGTTGGCATTTTCTTGGTTAACAGCCCGTTTTAGCGGCGTAAATCGGCATAAACATCATTTTTGGTTGGCAAAACCAACTATTATTTTGTTTACGGCTCGCACCTCATTTCTTGTTGCTTTAAATTTTCGTCTTTTCCGGAGGCGTTTCCGCCTGTGTTGGATGTGTCCTCGTCGAAAAGACGGATCCTGACGGCGGTGAATGTTGCAAGAGACCCGGAGTCTGCCATCACAGAGACTTGGACTTATAAAAACCTTGATTGATTTGCTGAAGGTGCGTTATTTTCCCAATGGGAAATCCTATACAGAGTCAACCCTGGATGAATAAACCTTTATTGATTGCGGGTTTACCCCCAAAAGACTGATAAAGTACCAGTAGTACCGCACAAGGCGGTGGCGGAAGTTTCAAAAATAGAAAACCTATAGGAGAGGTTGGTTGTTGTGAATCAAGGATGGCAGAGCGAAGCCACTGATGGATTGAAAGGTGCTTGATCTCTCTCACTCTTTCTCTCTCTTTCTCTGCCTATCTACCTACCTACCTACCTACCTATTTTCTATGCATCTATTTATCTATCGATCTATCTGTCTATCGATCAATCTATCTATCTATCTCTCTCTTTCATCTAATTACCTATCTATCTATGTATCTATCTATCTATTTATCTATCTAGCTTTCTCTCTCTCTCTCTCTCTTTATTTCATCTGTCTATCTGTCTATCTATCCATCTATCTATCTATCTGTCTAGCTGTCTACCTGTCTATCTATCCATCTATCTATCTATCTGTCTAGCTGTCTACCTGTCTATCTATCTATCTATCTATTTATCTATCTGTCTATCTGTCCATCTATCTATGTATCTACTATCTATCTATCTATCTATCTACCTATCTATCTATCTATCTGTCTATCTATCTAATCTATCTAATCTATCTAATCTATCTAATCTATCTAATCTATCTAATCTATCTAATCTATCTAATCTATCTATCTATCTATCTATATCTATCTATCTATCTATCTATCTATCTATCTATCTAATCTATCTATCTATCTATCTAATCTATCCTATCTATCTATCTAATCTATCCTATCTATCTAATCTCTCTAATCTCTCTAATCTATCTAATCTATCTAATCTATCTAATCTATCTAATCTATCTAATCTATCTAATCTATCTAATCTATCTAATCTATTTAATCTATCTAATCTATCTAATCTATCTAATCTATCTAATCTATCTAATCTATCTAATCTATCTAATCTATCTAATCTATCTAATCTATCTAATCTTCTAATCTATCTAATCTATCTAATCTATCTAATCTATCTAATCTATCTAATCTATCTAATCTATCTAATCTATCTAATCTATCTAATCTATCTAATCCTAATCTATCTAATCTATCTAATCTATCTAATCTATCTAATCTATCTAATCTATCTAATCTATCTAATCTATCTAATCTATCTAATCTATCTAATCTATCTAATCTATCGAATCTATCTAATCTATCTAATCTATCTAATCTATCTAATCTATCTAATCTATCTAATCTATCTAATCTATCTAATCTATCTAATCTATCTAATCTATCTAATCTATCTATCTAATTTATCTAATCTATCTATCTATCTATCTATCTATCTATCTATCTATCTATCTATCTATCTATCTATCTATCTATCTATCTATCTATCTATCTATCTATCTATCTATCTATCTATCTATCTATCTATCTCTCTCTATGTATCTATCTATCTCTCCATGTATCGATCTATGTATCTATCTATCTATCTATCTGTCTATCTATCTGTTTGTCTTTCTGTCTGTCTATCTGTCTAGCCATCTATCTATCTATCTATCTATCTACCCAGCTGGCCTCTCTCTCTCTCTCTCTCTTTCATCTAATTACCCAACTATCTATCTATCTACCTACCTGTCTATCTATCTCTCCCTTTCATCTGTCTATCTGTCTAGCTGTCTACCTGTCTATCTGTGTTGCAGTGTCATTCAGTGTAATGTAGTGTAGTGGAGTGTACTGGAGTGTAATGTAGTGTAATAGTGTACTGGAGTGTAGTGTAGTGTAATGTCCTGTAGCTTTTTCAACATCCGAACCTCCAAAAGTGGCGCAAACATGTGGTGTTTTGTACATTTTGACTTGGAAATGTGCTTCGCGCCACAACGGCGTGCACTTTTCCAACATCCGAACCTCCAAAAGTGGCGCGAACATGTGGTGTTTTGTACATTTTGACTTGGAAATGTGCTTCGCGCCACAACGGCGTGCACTTTTTCGACATCATAACTTCCAAAAGTGGTCCGAACCTGGTGTGTTTTGTACATTTTGACTTGGAAATGTGCTTCGCGCCACAACGGCGTGCACTTTTTCGACATCTCAACTTCCAAAAGTGGTCCGAACCCCTGGTGCTTTGTACATTTTGACTTGGAAATGTGCTTCGCGCCACAACGGCGTGCACTTTTTCGACATCTCAACTGCCAAAAGTGGTCCGGAGCTGGTGTGTTTTGTACATTTTCACTTCGAAATCAGTTTCGCGCCACAACGGCGTGCAAATTTTCATCTCTCATCTGGCCAGCTGGCTCCGCACCCGCCGCTTTAGCGAGCCTACTTTTCGACCCTCCGGAGCCTCAAATCATTGGAAAAACACAGTGTTTCTTCTGACTCTTTCTCTTCTGATCTTCTCTCTTCTAATCTTTCTCTTCTCTCTGCCTCTTCCCTGCTCTGCTTTTCATCTGTCGATATTGTCGGAAGTTTGACTTCTAAACTTCCTTCGATTATTACGTATTAAGGTTGGTACCTCCCCTATTGAACTTGAGGGTTTTTAATCCTGGGTTAATATTACCCGGTGTAAATATATATATATAGATGTACAATATATTATATATTATATGCATGTATAGTATAGGGAATATTTTCTTGGTGGTCCTTAATAGCAGATCCAGAGAAAGGTATGTTGTTTTTCACCACGGGGTAGCGGTCGAAACGCTTTGGGCTGAACATATTCGGGCATTATAACCAAGAAACATGGGTATTTGCATGCAACCATAACCATCAATGAGCTTTGGGCTCATATTCAGGAGGGATCATATTCAGAAATGAACTAGGGTAGTCCAAACTGCAATAAAACAATGGATTTGTGAGGCAAAACTGAAGAATATGAAAGGAAATCTGCCTCGGCGCCCCCAACATATATATATATTATATATATATATATATATAATAGTTATTTCTTTTTTTGTGTTTTTTTTTGTGTTTTCTATGCTTTCCTTTTTTCAAGTTTGTCTCAGTTTTGAAAGGTAATTGAATCAGTAATTGAAGTAACATCCAGCTGGCTATCCACAAGATGTTTTTTGCCATTATTTTTAAATATGTTTAAATATTTTTTGTTATGTTTAATCATTTGTGTATATTTTCCCGAATGCGTAGCAAGGTTCCCGTTTCACTCTGGGGGTCTGGGCGTTGAGGGTGTGTTCGCTCGATGTTGCCGAACCGTTCGCAACCGTCCGCGTGAGGTCCATATGGCCGTGCATCTGGGAAGTTCTGCAGAAGGGGTGCTTTTTGCAGGTTTCAAACGTCTCGTTGCTTTTCGTTTCACGTGGCAGGCGTGGCACTTCGTGACATTCAGGCGTGTTTTGTAACGTGTCGAAAGTCGTTTTGTGTGGCAGGCGCAATACTTTTGCAACGTTTTCAGAAGATGCGTTGCATTTTTCGTGCCAGGCGCAGCACTTTGGACGTGTCCATCGTCATGTTGCGTGGCAGGCGCAGCACTTTAGACGTGTCGTGTTGCGTGTTTTTTGCAAATCGCATTGGCAGGGCTGCGTCAAGTGGCGACAAGGTGCAAATTCCGTGGCACACGTGGCGTTTTGTGTGATGTGCTGAAAAGTGACGGAAGCCTCGCACGAAACATCGATTTTGAGATAGCAAAATTTCAGGTTCCTGAGCAAACTCGTAGGAAACCGTCAATTTTGAAGCTACAAATTGTCAAAATTGGCGGAGGTCTCCCACAAAATGCTTGTTTTGCTGCGCCCACACGTCTCGTCTGGAGTCTCAGGTTTTCTGGTGGCTTCGCCGTGTCCATGAGGGAAGCTGCAAAATCCTCTCCTCTTCGCATGTTTCCAACTGTGAAAATTGGCGGAAGTCTCGCGCGACATGCTTGTTTTGGTGCTCCCACGTGTCTCGTCTCGAGTCTCTGGTTTTCCTGCGGCTTCGCCGTGTCTATGGGGGAAGCTGCAAAACCTTTACTTTTTGGAGGTTTCCAAGCAGGTTGTCATGTCGTTTTGCGTGGCAGGCGTGGCACTTTGTGACATTCCAACTTGTTTGATAACGTGTCGAAAATGTCAAAATTGGATAAAATTGGAAGAAGTCTCGCACGAAATGCTCGTTTTTCTGAGCCCACGTGTCTCGTCTCGAGTCTCTTTTCCTCTGGCGTCGCCGTGTCTATGAGAGAAGCTCCACACTCTACACTTTACACTCCACACTCCACAATTTACACTTTAGACTCCTCACTCCACACTCCACACTCTACACTTTCACTCCACACTCTACAATTTCCATTCCACACTCCACACTCCACACTCCACACTCTACACTTTCCACTCCACACTCCACACTCAGCACTTTACACTCCACACTCCACACTCTACACTTTACACCCCTCTCTCCACTCTCCACTCTCCACACTCGACACTTTACACTTCACACTCTACACATTCCATTCCACACTGCGCACTCTACACTCCACACTCCACACCCTACACTTTCCACTCCACATTCCGCACTCTACACTCCACACTCCACAATTTACACTTTAGACTCCTCACTCCACACTCCACACTTTACACTCCACACTTTACACTCCACACTTTACTCCTCACTCGACACTTTACACTCCACACTTTACACTCCACACTCTACACTTTACACTCCTCACTCCTCACTCGACACTCCACACTCCACACTCACACTCTACACTTTACACTCTACACTTTACACTCTACACTCCACACTCCACACTCTGCGCTTTACACACTCCACACTTTACACTCCGCACTCCTCTCTTTACACTCCACACTCCACACTCCACACTCCACACTCTACACTTTCCACTCCACACTCCACACTTTACACTCCACACTCCACACTCCTCACCCCACACTCCACACTTTACATTCCACACTCCTCGCTTCACACTCCGCACTCCGCACTCCACACTCCACACTCTACACTCCACACTCTACACTCTACACTTTCCACTCCACACTCCACACTCCACACTCTACACTCCACACTCCACACTCCACACTTTAAACTTTAAACTTTAAACTCCTCACTCCACACTCTACACTTTACACTCTACACTCCACACTCTACACTTCACACTCTACACTCCACACTCCACAATCTACACTTTACACACTCCACACTCCTGACTCGCGACTCCACACTTTACACTCCACACTCCTCACTTTACACTCCACACTCCACACTTTACACTCTACACTCCACACTTTACATTTTACACTCCACACTTTACACTTTACACTCCTCACTCCACACACTACACTTTACACTCCACACTCCACACTCTACACTTTACACTCCACACTTTACACTTTGCACTTTACACTCCTCGCTCCACACTCTACACTCCACACTCCACACTCCACACCTTACACTCTACACTCCACACTCTACACTTTACACTCCTCACTTCACACTCTACACTCTACACTTCACACTCTACAGTTTACTCTCTACACTCTACACTCCACACTTTACATTTTACACTCCACACTCTACACTTTACACTCTACACTTCACACTCTACACTCTACACTTTACACTCTACACTTTACACTCTACATTCACACTCTACAATCCACACTCTACACTTTACACTCCACTCTTTACACTTTACACTTTACACCCCTCACTCCACACTCTACACTTTTCACTCTACACTTTACAATTTCCACTCCAGACTCCACACTCTACACTTTACACGCTCTACACTCCGCACTCCACACTTCACACTCCACACTCTACACTTTACACACTCTACACTCCCCACTCCACACTTTACACTTCACACTCCTTACTTTACACTCCACACTCCACACTGCGGACTGGTAACAGGGGAATTTGTACTAGACTGTGACTGTTCAATTAAACTATTGCAGAAAAGTGTTCTTCGTGACTGCATATCCATGTGTTTCCACATCTGTACCATTAACATGCGTGTGAACATTCGGGTTCGTGGGCTGCATCTTGTTTTTTGACAGCTTCCATTATTTTTCCTCGATTGTAAGTATTTTTGTTGTTTTGTTACAATTTGGTATTATTTATTCTTATCTTAATTTATTATTTATTATCCTTATTTACTATTATTTACTATTTGTTTTTCCAGGTTTGATTATGATCCCTCCTGATGTATTAATCATTAGTATGATTTTTGGGTATACCCCCCAACGATAGTCATGTAATGAGGAACATGATGGTCCGCCAGCAAGTCAATAGGTTGAATGGGGCAAAGTAACCCCAACACAGCAATAAACCATAATGTCCTTAGCGATGATGTAAAGTGACCCCCAAATGGTTGTTTTTGCTGGGGTGGTTTATTTTGAGGGCGGCACCCCGTGGGGGAGTGAATTTTCATTAAAAATTGTGACAAAACATTGTAAATACCGATGTTTTATGCATTTGGAGGGTCTAAAACCTTAGCACAACGCATTGTTTTCATCATGATCTTGACATGAGATATACAAACACATTGACAGGCACCAAAAAAAACAAAAAAAAAAACAAACCACTAGATGCATTAAACACCGACAGGCACCAAAAAAAAACAAAAAAAAATCCAGCAAGTACTCAGAAGTGGACCCATAGTTCCTGGAAATTTTAGTTGTTTTTTTTGGTGTTTGTGCAGGTTTGGTGCATCCAGTGGCTTGTTTTTTTTTTTTTTGGTGCCTGTGCAGGTTTGGTGACTTTGACATCACAAAACATTGACAGGCACCACAAAAATCAAAAAAACAAACCACTAGATGCACCACACATCTACACGCACCAAAAAAAAAAATCCAGCAAGTACTCAGAAGTGGACCCATAGTTCCTGGAAATTTTAGTTGTTTTTTTTGTGTTTGTGCAGGTTTGGGGCATCCAGTGGTTTTTTTTTGTTTTTTTTTGGTGCCTGTGCAGGTTTGGTGACTCTGAGTTCACAAAACATTGACAAGCACCCAAAAAAAAAACAAAAAAAAAACACTAGATGCACCAAACATCGGCAGGCACAAAAAAAAACACAAAAAACAAAAAATCCAGCAACTACTCAGAAATGGACCCATAGTTCCTGGATTTTTTTTTTGTTTTTTTGGTGCCTGTGCAGGTTTGGTGATTTTGACTTCACAAAACATTGACAGGCACCAAAAACAAAAAAAACAAACCACTAGATGCACCAAACATCGACAGGCACCAAAAAAAACAAAAAATCCAGCAACTACTCAGAAGTGGACCCATAGTTTCTGGAAAATTTAGTTGTTTTTTGGTGTTTGTGCAGGTTTGGTGCATCCAGTGGTTTGTTTTTTTTTTGGTGCCTGTGCAGGTTTGGTGACTTTGACTTCACAAAGAATTGACAGGCACAAAAAAAAAACAAAAAACCAAAGCACTACATGCACCAAACATCGACAGGCACCAAAAAAAAAAATCCAGCAACTACTCAGAAGTGGACCCATAGTTCCTGAAAATTTTAGTTTTTTTGTTTTTTTTGGTGCCTGTGCAGGTTTGGTGCATCTAGTGTTTTTTTTTTGATGCCTGTGCAGGTTTGGTGCATCTAGTGGTTTGTTTTTTTTTGTTTTTTTTTTGGTGCCTGTGCAGGTTTTGGTGACTCTAGATTGTGTATGTTTGGATCTTGGCCATATTTTAAACTGATGTTTCAAAGAAGCAAACATAGAATTATCTTTGGCTATGCCACCACACAGGTTGCCTGATCTTAATAGTCAACAGCATGACATACTTTTTTGTCTCTCTGTTTTTTTTTGTTCTCTCTCTCTCTCTAACTATTGAAATGAGACTGCTGACAAGACTCTGCAAGATAACAATGATAAACAAGATATGTACATACTTCTTGAGTTGTAACATTCCCACCATACTTCTTATCCAGAGTGTTAGATGTGCTTGTGTATATCCACCTACACAATGTATGCCCTTCCCACCATACTTCTTATGTAGCGCAAATGCTTCTATATACAATATATGTTGAGATGATATCATTCTAACAAGTTCATGAAGAAACAGCTATATCATATCAATTGCTTCTAGCAATAGAATTTCTCCATCACCTCCATCACACTAGTCACCTATTTCTACTGTATATTCTGTTCCAAGATGCGCAGCTACCCATTCTTATGGCATGCTGTGCAGCAGATGTTTTCTGTTATGTGCTGATTGTTTGTAGTTCTTTGCAAGCTTCACAGGAAAAATTGAATCCTGTCACAAGAGTCTGTAGATGCCAGTGATTTATGACAGCATATGAGAGCCTTTGGAGGTGAACTCTATTTTTTGCTCTAAAATAACGGTTTTAAGCCTTCCTTGGTCACAATACACTGTAAATACCAGCCTTTTTGACTATTTGACTATTTTTAGAGCAAAAATCACTCCCCCATGAGGGGTCGTTCTGTTTATTTTTGGATTGCCTACAGTGTAGATTGGAATAATCTTCTACTAATTCATGGTGTCTTTTATAATCCCATTGTGTGGATTCTGAATTTGTTTGGCCACACTTTTCACGCAAGGTGATTTCGAAATCACCGAAATCCGAATCATTTTACAATTTATGTTGGAACACGAAATTGTGTGGCGTGCTCCATGTTTGGATCAACTCGAATGAATGTTCCAGCCCGAGCCGACACATTTCTGGATCGCGAAGGGCCTTACAGAAATCAACTGGGATGCCCATTTCGGTCTGTCATGGTCTGAAGCGGGGAACACCACCATGTAAATCGCCCCAAGTTTTACACTTCGAATAGGGAACATGATGATGAACGAAGGGATTGTTCGATGTTGTTCGTTTTTTTCCTTACATGTTCAGACACAGCCATTTCTGTGGTCATATGTCGTCATCTTCGCATTTTTCGGAGGCCATGGTAACGCCGATCGTGCAGCTTTGCGACATTGAAGATGTGATCTTGCTTGAGTCTGGCCCAAAAAATGGATACAGAAGATGTGATACTGCATGGGAATGTATAGGAGATATAGTGGATACTAGTGGATCATAATGGGATCTACCGGGATATGACCAACACCATGTTGGATAATCTATAGGTTAAGTTCGGAAAATCATCTATAATACTTATTTAAAAATCTTCAGATGAAGTACGGTCAAAATCAGCATAGACCAATTATGAAGGAGGGGAGCAAAACGTCATGGAACATGCATCAAACACTATGAACCAATACAGCCTCCGCATGAAATGACCACCTTAAAACATAGCACTCACATTTGTCATTTATGTGTTTTTTGTTTTGCCTTGCTTTTCCCGTTTCCCTTTCTTTTTATTTATTTGTTCTTTCTGTTTTTCTTGTTTTCCCGTTTTCCTCTCAGTTTCTGTTGCTTTATTGAATGTTGATTTGAACAAAACACTGTAACACGATAGGGTCCCCCAAAAAACGATAACCTCTATTTTCACACCAGGTGGAAACAACTGATTTTGACGGTGGCTCTGATGAATCTGATAAGATAGACATGGCCAGAAACATGGTGACATAAAACATGAACTGGAGGATTTTGTGGTTTGTACCGGCAAAACTAGGTTCACGGCTCATTTGTCGCCGTGAGTCAAAGTGACATCATCATGATGTCGATGTTGCAGTAAAAACAACGCAATTCCATGGGGTTCTATTTCGATGTCTGCATGTTTTCCTTGTCTGCAAAATGCGCGTCAACTAGTCGCATCATCACCAAATTTTGGTCAACGTAGAAGTAATTTCAAGAGGACGTTACACTTCAAGACGATGTTACAACGTAGAAGCAACTTCAAGGAAACGTTACAAGGTGGCAGCAACTTCAAGAGGACGTTACACTCCAAGAAGATGTTACAATGTAGAAACAACTTCAATAAGACGGTTACACGTGGATGCAACTTCAAGAATATGTCACAAAGCAGACACAGCTTCCAGAGGACGTTACACTTCAAGAAGATGTTACACCGTAGAAGCAACTTCAATGAGAAGGTACAAGGTAGCATGCAAACTTCAAGAACATAAGATGTTACACTCCAAGAAGATGTTACAACGCAGCAGCAACTTCAAGAAGACGGTATAAGGTAGCAGCAAGTTTCAAGAGGACTTTGGGAATCCAAAAAGATGTTGCAACGTAGCAGCAGCTTCAAAAACATGTTGCAACGTAGAAACAACCGCAAGAAGAAGGTAAAAGGTAGCATGCAAACTTCAAGAGGACGTTACACTCCAATAATATATTACAGCGTAGCAGCAACTTCAAGAAGATGTTGCAACGTAGAAACAAGTTCAAGAGCATGTTATACAGCATGACGAAGGTGTACTGTAGCAACTAAGAGAGAAACGGGTAACATGACGTAGATTTGTGCGCGTAAGCACTCCACCCCATCAGAAACCAAAACATGGTAAGAACATGTTAAAACTATATACATATATATGGAGGTTTCCTGAAATAGGGGTACCCCTAAATTATCCATTTCTAGGTCGGATTTTCCATTATAAACCATCCAGCTATTAGGGTATCCCGTATCCCCATGACTATGGAAACCAAATCCGGTTTTGACCTGGCACTGTCCGTTGTCCGTTTGGGCATCTGGCAGTTGATTTCTGTTTTCTTTTTCCGATATCCTTGGAGAATCCCAAGTGCTCACTATATCCAATTAATTCCAATTATGTCTTATTCAAGATAGCTAACTTAAGCCATTTATAGATGAATTGCGGGTTTGAAATTTTGGTGATGTTCAAGTGCTATGTTAAACGATGTTAAAAGGATATATCCAATTATATCCCCATGATACATCCCATGATCTCCCATCACGTCCCACTTCTTGAAGATATTCTCCGGTCATCAAACATGGCTCTACCTAAATCATTAGGTTAACATAGTATAACATAATGGTGTATTTAACATTACCCTGATAATGGGTATTTAACATAACATGGTGATTTCCCATTGCCAGCCACGTTCGCTTTTCGAAGACGATCAGGACGAGTACACGTTTCCTCCGATTCCGAGCTTGGCGTCTTCCAAAGTCCGAAGTTTGGAGCTTCGTTTCACCCCTAACACAGCGCCGCTCGGTGAAGCGGTTCGGTGGTGATTAAGGTGGTGAACAAAGTCCGATGTTTGTGAATATGGGTGGTATTGATAGCTACTCTTTGGTGATTTGACGGTTTGATATGGGTTTGATATGGAAAATCACAATTTTGAAAATAAAGTAAAGATAATTCGTTTATAAAGTGGCCATTTTTCATAGCTACTGGGTCCCGGGGTTTATTTCGTTGCATTGCTGTTTTGTTGTAGCCGATCAGCGTCTGCCTTGCAGAACTGCGAGGCAGGATTATTTCCGTGACTTTATATGCCCATTCATCAGAGCATCTCCAGAGTTGCGCAGACTCCGAGTGAACCTGGGAAGCTTGGGCCAGTTTCGGCAGATTCGCGGGGCCGTGGGCCCTGGGTTAAATAATATTCTATATGGTATTGTGGGCATGGGACATGAGCATGGTTGTGTTTCGGATGTGAAGATATTATGTGAAGATGTTTCGTGTGGTCCAATGTGAGCCCTGCATGATTCGCCCATTGGCATAGCTTCTCCATGCTTCAATTGCAAACATGACCAGATTCTTGACTTGTGGGTTCTCGAGTCTTGAAGCTTGATCTGTGTTTTTCTGTTTCGTGGTTTCTATATACATAATATCCATTCAATTAATATTGCAGATATCAATTGACCAGCAGATGTCAATGGAATTGTGGCAGATATCCGTAGTTCTTTGTTGGTTTTAGCACGCTGACGCCGAATTATTTGAGTGATTTCCCCTGAATTTGGTGATCAGTTTGTACACCAATTCCAATATCTTCTGATCGGTTTGTTCCAACCCGCTTTGTGACCTTTTCATCACCCTCCCAGAGGAGGTCTGGAAAAATCCTCGAAACCTGTTCTCGGAGTACCCGCTGGCAACAAAGAATATCTTCTATTTGCTTGCTTTTTGTAAGCACGATTTTTCGCATATTCTATTTACTGTATTTTTTTTGAATATCTTCCAACTTAGTATGAAATACTCGTATAATAAAGCTGGTTGACACCCACTTTTTGGGCGGCCAAACATGTTTTTGCAATGTGAATCCCCAGGTCTTTGGGTGATTGAGCCCAGAGATTGCCCAGAAACGGATATGGCCATAATTTGGTGGAAAAAACCATGCATGTCGGGACAAACCCAGATCACATGTTGTATATCCCATTGTATCCTGTAGAATATCTCCTCACAGTGGTTGCTTTATCCCCATGGGTTGGCCTTTTGTTTAATCCTTGGTTGGCGAGGAAAAAATATTGGTGAATCACCCAAATATTTAGGGACAACCAAAGCAAGAAAACATGGTTTCCGGCTGAGATGGTTCCCAATAAATCAATTTTCTGACTCAATTATCTACGAATGAGAGCATATCCCTAAGAATACCACATAAAATTGGCTAATTATTTCATAGAACAGTTCATAAAATATGTGATTTTCCACATTGCAAAACACTATAGGGGTATACCTACCCTATGTTTGGACAAGCCCAAATTCTGTATAGTATAAATCATAATGACCTCACTACAACGTCACTAGAATGATGGTCAATAGGTATAACTATCCCAAAGTTGTGTTATGTCAGGTTAGTGCATTTAGTGCATTTTGTTTTAAATCCGGGTATCGGTATAAGTGCTATTTTGGTGATGTCATTTGGATCAAATGATGATAATACATGCAAGCCACATATTATATAATATAGCAATCCCCAAGAGGATAGAAAAAGTCATTTAGCACTACTTATTTCGAAGGTTTTTTTTCTATTTCTTGGGGGAATGCCATATATATATACATATCCAATTATATCTGTATGAAAAGCAAGCCTCTGCTTGATACGGCGATGGTTTAAAGTGTTAGAGTTCCTTTGAACTTCAGGAACCAACTTTTATTCCCGACACCTTGGTCAGCAGTACGAGATTTTGCTGAACGACTTGGCGAGCTGCCAGCACTTGGAGGAGATCGAGTTTCTGGGATCGATGATCTTTGAAAAAAAAAAGGCTTTAACCAGTTTCAATCATTGGGTTAATCATTGGGCTTTTAGTCAAGTGTTTCATCAAATAATTACTGTACAATGGGTGCAAAATCATTGGTTTTTTAGTCAAAGAACATGTAACGCATGACGAAACAAAATTGTGTTTCCCCAGCAAATTGCGGCAAAACACGTGACCAAGCAAGTGTTGGAGCAGCCACCAAGATAGGAGGCCCATAGATTTCCTATTGTGACCTCCACCCAAAATTTTCCGGGTCATCCCTTTTTGCCTGAGTAGCCTCGATGGGAATCATTTCTGGACCAATTTGCAACTTCGAAGTTCAGTAAGTTTTATTATAGTACCTGCAGATGACATGGGAGTTGTCGAACATACCCAAAAAACGAAAACTCCCATGTCATCTGTAAAGTGAAAAAAGCAGAAAAATGCATAAGTCCCATGTCATCTGTAAAGTGCCTCGCAAAAAAAAATCACATGACACGGGACCTCTGCAATTGTTTGGGTTCTAAAGATGCAAAACGTGTCATGTCAACTAAACTGACACACTGTACATTTCACATCCCACACAAAGATAGTATATGAGTGTATGACTACCTGCTAGCAGTTAGAATAATCCAACATTATACGTCAGCTGTTAGAATATTCCAAAGTCACATGAATCCATTCACCTCGTTCTATTTAGCAACTATCTAGCAGCTATTCAGAAGCTACTTGGCAATTCTTTAGCATTTATTCAGCAGCTATTTACCAACTATTTTGAAGCTATTTAGAAGCTATTTAGAAGCCATTTGTCAATTATTCAGCAACTATTTAGAAGTTATTTTGCACCTATTTAGTAGTTATTCAGCAACTATTTAGAAACCATTTAGAAGCTATTTAGCAACTATTTAGCAGCTATTTAGCAGCTATTTAGCAACTATGTAGCAACTATTGAGCAGCTATTTAGCAACTATTTAGCTGCTATTTAGCAGCTATTTAGCAACTATTTAGCAACTATTGAGCAGCTATTTAGAAGCTTTGAAACTATTTAGCGGTTATTTAGCAGTTTTTTTAGCTATTTAGCAGCTATTTCAGTAACTATTTGGCGGCTACTAAAGCTATTTAGCAGCTATTTAATACAGGTAACTATTTAGCAACTATTTGGCAGACATTTAGTGTGTATTCAGCAACTATTTAGCAGCTACCTAGCACGTATTTAGCAGATCCCTGTGATCATTTTCTCTACAAAATAGTGCGGCAAATAAGGAGGTGCAAACACCTCTCGAGCCAGTGCAGGGCCACCAGTTCAAACTTTGTCTACAAAATACAGGATTGAGCGTCGTCAAATATATATATTATATATATATGTATATATAATGCTATACATGTCATGTGCTTTACATGCATGAAAATTGAATACGATTTTTATTGATACCAAGATTGAACAACATTGAACCTTAGATAACTCACATTTCGTATAAAGAGTTGCATGAACTACCTGTGCATACACAGGGCACACCAAGCGTTTGAAAAATATCTAACTATTATTAAACACATATGCACAATTTTAAGATTTCAAAAAATTACACAATAAGTTTTTTCTCATTTACCCACCATAAACGTGACATTTCTCATTTTCTCGCTGTGTCCCTCCCGTTATAGGCTTCCCCGTTGACCCTGTGTGTTACCCCCGTTGCGCCAAAGTTTTATGTGTGGCTTACCTCCGTTGCCGGGTCGAAGTCCTCGAGCCGGGCTCTTGGAAGTCCCATATCATGTGGTAAATTCCTCTTCCCGTCTCCCTGCCTGCCAGTTCCGGCCTTGAAAGTCCCACGTCATGTGGTAAATTCGTCTCCCTTGGATGTCCCTGATGTCCCATCTCCTGCGGTAAATTCCTCTTCCCGTCTCCCTGCCTGCCAGTTCCCACCTGCTGTGGTAAATTCCTCTTCCCATCTCCCTACCTGCCACTTCCCACCTTGGATGCCCCACCTCCCGCGGTAAATCCTCTTCCCGCCTCCCTACCTGCCAGTTCCGGTCTTGGAAGTCCCATGTGGTAAATTCGTCTCCCTTGGATGTCCCATCTCCAACCTCCCGCGGTAAATTCCTCTTCCCGTCTCCCTACCTGCCAGTTCCGGTCTTGGAAGTCCCATGTCATGTGGTAAATTCGTCTCCCTTGGATGTCCCTGATGTCCCATCTCCTGCGGTAAATTCCTCTTCCCGTCTCCCTACCTGCCAGTTCCCACCTTGGGTGTCCCATCTCCTGCGGTAAATTCCTCTTCCCGTCTCCCTGCCTGCCAGTTCCCACCTGCTGTGGTAAATTCCTCTTCCCATCTCCCTACCTGCCACTTCCCACCTTGGATGCCCCACCTCCCGCGGTAAATCCTCTTCCCGTCTCCCTACCTGCCAGTTCCGGTCTTGGAAGTCCCATGTCATGTGGTAAATTCGTCTCCCTTGGATGTCCCTGATGTCCCATCTCCTGCGGTAAATTCCTCTTCCCGTCTCCCTACCTGCCAGTTCCGGTCTTAGAAGTCCCATGTGGTAAATTCGTCTCCCTTGGATGTCCCATCTCCTGCGGTAAATTCCTCTTCCCATCTCCCTATCTGCCAGTTCCCATCTTGGATGTCCCATCTCCTGTGCTAAATTCCTCTTCCCATCTCCCTACCTGCCAGTTCCCACGATGCCCAACCTCCCGCGGTAAATTCCGCTTCCCGTCTCCCTACCTGCCAATTCCGGCCTTGGAAGTCCCATGTCATGTGGTAAATTCGTCTCCCTTGAATGTCCCATCTCCTGCGGTTAAATTCCTCTTCCTGTCTCCCTGCCTGCCAGTTCCCACCTTGGATGTCCCATCTCCTGCGCTAAATTCCTCTTCCCATCTCCCTACCTGCCAGTTCCCACAATGCCCAACCTCCCGCGGTAAATTCCTCTTCCCGTCTCCCTACCTGCCAGTTCCGGCCTTGGAAGTCCCATGTCATGTGGTAAATTCGTCTCCCTTGGATGTCCCTGATGTCCCATCTCCTGCGGTAAATTCCTCTTCCCGTCTCCCTACCTGCCAGTTCCCACCTTGGGTGTCCCATCTCCTGCGGTAAATTCCTCTTCCCGTCTCCCTGCCTGCCAGTTCCCACCTGCTGTGGTAAATTCCTCTTCCCATCTCCCTACCTGCCACTTCCCACCTTGGATGCCCCACCTCCCGCCCGTCTCCCTACCTGCCAGTTCCGGTCTTGGAAGTCCCATGTCATGTGGTAAATTCGTCTCCCTTGGATGTCCCATCTCCTGCGGTAAATTCCTCTTCCCATCTCCCTATCTGCCAGTTCCCATCTTGGATGTCCCATCTCCTGTGGTAAATTCCTCTTCCCATCTCCCTTCCTGGCAGTTCCGGCCTTGGATGTCACATCTCCTGGTGTCACATCTCCTGTGGTAAATTCTTTTCCCATCTCCGTACCTGCCAGTTCCCACCTGCTGTGGTACATGTTTTCTCCCTACCTGCCAGTTCCGGCCTTGGAAGTCCCATTCCGGCCTTGGAAGTCCCATGTCATGTGCTGCGGTAAATTCCTCTCCCCCTTCTCCCTAGCTGCCAGTTCCCCCAGTTCCGCCTGCCAGTTCCCATCTTGGATGTCCCACCTCCTCATCTTGGATGTCCCATCTCCTGTGGTAAATTCCTCTTCCCATCTCCCTATCTGCCAGTTCCCATCTTGGATGTCCCATCTCCTGTGGTAAATTCCTCTTCCCATCTCCCTACCTGGCAGTTCCGGCCTTGGATGTCCCATCTCCTGCGGTAAATTCCTCTTCCCATCTCCCTACCTGCCAGTTCCCACCTTAGATGTCCCATCTCCTGTGGTCAAATTCCTGTTCCCATCTCCCTACTTGGCAGTTCCCACCTCCTGTGGTACATGTTTCCTCCCTACCTGCCAGATCCGGCCTTGGAAGTCCCATTACGGCCTTGGAAGTCCCATGTCATGTGGTAAATTCCTCTTCGCATCTCCCTACCTGCCAGCTCCCACCTTGGATGTCCCGTCTCCTGCGGTAAATTCCTCTTCCCGTCTCCCTATTTGCCAGTTCCCACCTTGGATGTCCCATCTCCTGTTGTTCCCTACCTGCCAGTTCCGCCTGCCAGTTCCCATCTTGGATGTCCCACCTCCTCACCTTAGATGTCCCATCTCCTGTGGTAAAATTCCTCTTCCCATCTCCCTACCTGCCAGTTCCCACCTTGGATGTCCCATCTCCCGCGGTGTAAAGTCCCATGTCATGTGTAAATTGGCTCACTTATTCTCATGTCATCTGGCAAAAAAATGGAAAAATGCCTGCCCGTCAGGTCGGCGCATAACTCCCATGTCATGTGTAAAATAAAAAAACATAGCAAAATCGATACATAAATCCCATGTCATGTGCCAAAAAACATCGGCTAAATCGGCCGCAAAGTCCCGTGTCATCTGCGCCTAGTATAACAGCCTCAATTGCTCAGGTTTCTGAAGTTCCGTAGCTCGCGACTGGTCATTGCAAGAATGCGGTCCATATCCATCCGGGTGAATCAATCCCAGGTTTAAAATCCTGAAGATTGATGGTTATATACATCATATATTTATTACAAGAACAAGCCTTATTGTTGAATTACAAACAACAAGATCATCATTTATTGTTGAACAAAAACCCTTATTATTGTTGAACATCATCATTCTGCTGGTGTTTCCTTTTTATATACACCATATTTATTACAAAACAGGAACTGTCATTCTTTTTTTGGTGTTTCCTTCTCCACGAGGTTCCTGACGCTGAGTGCGGATCAGTGGCCACCGGTGGAGCGATCCCATGCCTTGGCCGAGTACCATGATCACCGGGGACCCAAGACCAACAAGGCCAGTGGATGATCCCAGCCCAAGTCAGGGGAGTCACCAGTGGATGGTCCGTGATTTGTTTATTTAAAACTACATGGATCATCCAGGAATCCATGTTTCACTAGTGGATTATATAATATTATATACATTTTATGACTATGATGTTTATGATATCAAGATATGATAAAATGGGCAAGCCAATGTCATCGTCATAAACAATGTCCATAGCCGCATAGCCATAAAATCTGGATATCAAGGAAAACATACCAACACATCCTGGTGATCCTGAAGAGTTTCAGTGGATGACGGACGTTATATTTTTGGGGTGTTCTTAAGTCATTGTGTCATGGGGGATCTTTCAATACTCAAGTGGTCTAATGATTCTAATGATTTGGATGCTTTGGTGGTACCCCTATTTTAAGAAAGCTCCATATCTTGTGGGGCATTATCCTCTCCCACAACAAAGACTGGACTGGGTAAACCGTTTACGGTAAACCACTATCGAATATCAACATCAACATATCATGAGGATTCATCGGGATCTTTGCAAATGGATTTGACAAACAATGGTGGGTTGAATATTGCCAGTTCATGGGGAATATTTTCATAAAGGAGTCGTCTATGCCACGTGGGATTAATTTGAAAAAAGGGATTGATTAGCTTTTGATGAGGTTTTTGTCACCATGAGGTCTTTGTTACTATTGATGACATCGGTTCTTGCTTAGCATGAAATCTGTTGGTTTCCTCCAACTATATTCAACAATTAATGGTTTATTGATGATTTTCTTGGGTGGTACAATGACATTTGCTGATCATATTCAACTGGTAATCCCCACGACTGTCCTGGAGATTTGTGACACTCCTCAACTGAACTGTACACTCTGGTAATCAAACATGGAAATTAGAAATGATCCATTGATATCCGTTGATGGTTGGGTCCCATTCATACATCCATAGAGATTTCGGAGATTTCGGAGATTTCCCAGGGTCCCATCCCGATGATTTGGCAACGAATGCTCCAAGCAGGTGGTAACTGCAAGTTTGGACACTGTGCAAAAGCTGTTGCAAAGCTGCAGGCGACTGAGGTGTGACCAGCCTGCGATGCTGCCAAGATGGATGGCATGGGTACATTGCAAGATAGACCCACCGATAGACCCAGAAAACTAACAGCATGAAACCACCATAATTTGGTTTGTGTGAATTTGTTTAATGTGTTTTTCTACTGGACAATTACAAATGATCCAATTCCTTAGATGTCGCATTCTCTTTGTTGAACGATTTGATGTCAGGTAGCATAGTCGAGTCCATGTTGAGCATATGTGCACATATTAATACATATTATATATACACAATTATACATGTATCGGTAAATAACGATATGTACATATATATATATATAGTGTAAGTAAAATTGTCTTCGATTATATTTATATATATATATACACATATAGATATCTATATATATATGCTGTATATACATATATATATATATTTATATTTATAGTCATGTACATACACATATAAATGAAATGTGAATATATGAATATCTCTCTCTATACTTTGGTACACATGTTATTCGCGCCAGGCGTGTGAAACTCTTGCCGCCCAGTGTGGAGTGTCGTGTGAGCTTTTATCGCTTGCTGTGTGGCACGGTGAAATGGTGCTCTCTGGAAGACAAATGTGGGTATGATATGTAATTTACTGGTTGGTGGTTTCATTTTAGCCTTTTGCTCAGATACCTGCCAGGGGTTGGTCGCTCTCACTAAATCTGAGTGGTTGTGACCCCCCATTGCTTTCTTTTGGTTTCACAATGTCTTGGGACTCGCCATGCCATGACTTCGGTTTGTGCCCCAACTGGCCCACCATGGTTCAGGGAACAAAGGTTTCTCTAGTCATGGATGTCTTAGTGCATACATCTGGGATGTTGCTGGGTACTACAGTTCCAGGTCAACAGAAAATTCGTGTGATTGGGGAAGTGGACTCCTGTGTGAGAGGATGCAAGCGGCTGTCAGTTTTTGACGTCATCTTCGACTCCAGCAAGGACGAGGTGGATCTTTTGTTGACAGATCAGACGGTGGTGATAGCACATGGAATGAGGCCGGCAGAAGACATGTTCAGATGCGTTGAGCTTTGTGCAGGTCTGGCTTGTTCCAGTACAGGATTGTCTGCTGCAGGGTTTCGGCATGCTTGCAGTGTTGAGTGGCGTGCCCCTCTTGTTGAACTCCACCGGACTTGCAACCCAGGTGTGCCAGTGATTCATGGAGACATCTCTGACCCGTCCGTCATCAAAGAGGTCGTGCAGCGTGTTGAGCCTCCGTTCACAATGATGACAGGTTTTTCGTGCCAGCCCTACTCCTCAGGTGGTGCTCAAGGCGGGTCCAGTGATGACAGATCATCGACAGTGCCAGCCACCATCCGTGCCTGCCACCTGTGCCAATGCCCGTTGCTCATCTTGGAATGTGTGACACAGGCCAGGTCCAACCAGTTTGTGCGGTCATGCCTCCAGGTTCTGACTGATCAACTTGGTTACCATCTCTGTGAAGTGTCGTTGAAGCTTGAGGACAACTGGTGTGCCAAGAGGTTTCGTTGGTGGGTGGTTGCGTCGCATCCTGCACTTGGGTCCCTGTCTGTCCCTGCTTGGCCGAAGAATCCTAGTCTGTGCATCCGCGATGTCATGCCATTTGTCCGCACTTGGTCCCCAGAAGCAATGCAGGAGTTGATGTTGACTGCACATGAACAGAAGGTCTTCACGCTTGATGGATCCTCTCTTAGAAAGTATCACATGCAGATGGATGGAAAGCTGCCCACCAGTTTGCACTCAGCGGGCAGCCAAGCTGATGCCTGCCCTTGTGGATGCCGTCAGGCGTTTAGTGAAACCCTGATCAAGCAACGTGGTGTGTATGCACAGCTGATTCAGGTGACATCGGAGTCTGCACCTACCTTCAGGCATCTGCACCCTTGTGAGTTTGCCATTTTGAATGCGATGCCACCTCCGCCTGCACTCTTGATGGGTGAGATTGCCAATTTGCGTCTGTGTCTTGGAGCCATCGGTCAACTTGCCTCACCGTTGCAGTCGGTCTGGGTTGGAGCTTGTGTGATGCAGCAGGTGCGTAAAAGGTTGGAATTTGATCCCATCAATCCTGTCGAAATTCTCAACAATTTCAAGGGAATGCTGTTTGCCTGTGCCAAGGAGTTGTTCCCCAATGTCCCTGTTGGTCCACCGACGCTTGCATGGACAGTTTTGACATATCCTGATGGCACCAGCACCCGGGTTCAGGTTCAAGCCTCCACCACGGCCATTGAACTTTTCCAGGCTGAATTTGCCTTGACCAATGAGGCTCCGGCTGATCAATGGATTGACACTGCAACCGGCCAGACTTTGGATTTTTACAGCTTGGTTGCTGGCAAACAGATCCTTGTTAACCGACCAGGATCGACTTGCGGGGGCACCCATGAAGGTCATGTGCCATCCAGTGGGAGTGCTAACCATGTGCCTTTGGACTTTTCTGCTTCGATTCCTTTGGACTTTGACCCGCCTTCCACGGCTTTGGACTTAGCCGATGACCAATCTGAGCAGCCCGAGGATGAACCGATGCCACCAGAAGCTGCCAGCTCCTTTGCCAGCAGTGCCACTGTGCATGATGCAATTTCTGCAGATGCCGCTCCACCACCAGGTCAGTCCATGGATACCCTCTTTGGATTTCACAGCCTTTCAGGAGCTCAACTTGCTGCTCTGGCGCCGCCTCTGGTGCCAGACCTTCGATCCTGTAAGATGTTCCGCCAGGCCACTGTGCACAGTCCTTCTCGTTTGCGTGTGCTTGAGAATCAGGGTAGTGCTATGGGTGATGACGAGCTTACCCTGCATTTCTATGCCTGCTTGTGCTTGTCTGGCCGCAAAGAAGTGCAGTTTCTGGACCCTTTGCTTGCGTTGGGATGGCTCAAATGCGGAACTGTGGACTCAGTCTCTGAATGGATTCAGCAGCACCCAGATATGACCAGCATCTTGACGGCTCTCCCGGTCAATGATCATTGGATGCCAATCATGTGGTCTTTGGGAATGAGTGAAGTGCGTGTGTCCATGTGGGAGCATGTTGATGTTGAGATTGAGGAGTTGAGTGCTTTGCATGGATTGGTCAGTACAGCTTGGGGTAAGCCTTTGTTCAGCCTAGCATGCAATCGGCGTTCTTTTGCCCGTGGCTATTGTGGTGCGGCTTCTGTTGCCTTTGCTTTTCACAAACTTCTGGGCAAGGACCTTCCCTCTTCCGAGCCGGAGTTGATTGAATTGCATGCTGACCTCAAAGCAAGCTTTGTCGAAGCTTCCCGTGCTGAACTGTTCTCTCGCAAGCCTTGGTGCTGGGGTCTTGGAGTTCCTGATGTCATTGTCCTCACTGGTGAACTGCTGAAATCACATGGAGTCCCGGAGTCTCAAGCTGTCCTGCGTGCCAAGCTGGTCGTCCAAGCCTTGGGCAAAACAGAGGTACAAAGAGCCATCACTGGGACTGCCCCATGGCGTTCGTTGAAAGCACTTGCCAACATGCAAAGCCCTCCTCTGCAAATGGTCTTGCCTGACGAGCAGCAGCAGCACAACCAAGGCAAACCTGCCAGCAAACCCAAGAGCAAGGCAGCTGCGAAGAAGCTTGTACCAGCCAAGCCAGCCGATCTGGACCCCTCCAAACTGTTGATTGAGCATGGTGCGTTCTGTGTCAATCTTGATGAACCGCTCAGTCAGGTTCCATTTGCATCCCTTGGTCCACTCTCCAGTGGTGTTGCCATTACCACTTTCTCTGATGCTGTTCCTTTCCTGACTTCTGGCAAGTTGCTGACCAACCATGGACTTGCGCTGTTGGTCTTGAACCCACCGAGTGATTTGCAGACACCCCTCCCCTGGTCAACCATCAGGTTTGCGGCCCGCTGCAGCATGAATCAAGAACCCATGCTGGTGTCAGGTGTGCTGGTGCAACTTGGACGCAACACCGTCTATCAGTACACAGCGAAGGACATCCCGGCCATCTTGTCGGTTGAGGTTGCATGTGCCAGGATCACTGTCTTCCAAGATCAATGGGATGGTTCTTGGGAAGAGTTTGCAACCCGTCCTGTCAAACATGTGCTGGCTGTGTTGACTTGCTTGCAGACTTGCCGCTCCAAGCCTGATTGTCAGTGTTCGGCCTGGCATCCTCCTGATGGCCACACCCATGATGCTGTGCTTGATGTGTTCCGCCGACAGTTCTTCAATGATGTTGGCCGATCAGTGAAATGGGACAAGGCCACCCACTTTGGTGTTTTGGTTCGGTATGTCAAGGCCCTTGAGCAACATGTCCTTCGTTCCAGTGGCCAACATGGCATCTTTGTGGAGCCCAAAACCGAAGATGCTTTGAAGCCTCATCCAGACTACCAGGTGGTCTGGCTCCCTCAGATGGATTTCAGTGCAGTGGCGCATCAGGCCAAGTGTGAGCTGGATTGCCTTGGAGTTGCTCGATCAGGCAAACGCTTTGGTCTCCGGGTTCACATCACCCATTTCCAGCGGGTCTTCACCAACACAAAGCCAGATGCTGTGTATCTTGCCCCTGGCAGTCGCATCACCTTTCAGTGTGGCCCCTGGCCCTTCGGCTCTGACCGCAAAGCCATCGCTCGGATCCTGAAAACTGGAGGCTGGGAATGTCGACCACTTCAACCTCTCCATCATGTCCCAGGAGGCCTGATGTGGGCAGTTCAAGCAGTGACGGAGCCACCAGTTACGGTGCTTGCCATGCAGCACGGCCAGGTACTGATCACACGACAGGATACCAAGGTCCTGCCGACAGAGCCAGATGCCAGAATCGTCGGTCATGCCAAAACGGTTGAGCTGTGTCGCCAGACGGACACCACCAGCCCAGACCCTTGGCTTCAGCAGGACCCATGGTCCAAGGCCATCAGCCTCACTCCGGCAGCCCCCGTCGCCCAGCCAGCACCCAATGTCTTGCATGAGCTTGAACAGCGACTTGAGCAGTCCATTTTGGCAAAGCTGCCCATGGAGACTATGGAAGTGGACAGTCAGGACCAACGTTTGCAGCAGCTTGAGTCCCAAGTTCAGCAACTCACCTCCAAGCAGGTTGCCATGGAGAACACCATCCATGAGCACCACCAGCAAAACGCGGTCCAGGTCCAGACCTTGCAACAACAGATGAAAATGCAACTTGACATGCAAACACAGCATATGTCCACTATGTTGTCGGATCAAATGAGCCGCATTGAGGCCATTTTAGCGAAGAAACCCAGGACCGAATGAAGGCAAGGGAGCTCTGGCTGCTCGCCTGGCGCCAGAGCGATCCCACGGCTCTTCCAGCCGTTCAAGGCAATTTTGTCCATCGTTTTGATTTTGTCCTTGTATCGAGTCGGCGAAGCACGTGTACCAGGGCCCGATGCCTCATGGAAGCTTGGGATTTGCAATCCCTCTGGATTGCAGGGTAAGCACCACATTTTGTCCAGCATCGATGCCGGTGTTGTCGCCGTCTCCGAGACACATCTCACCAAGGTTGCCCGTCGCAACCTTGCCATGTCCTTTCGGTCCACCAATTCGAAGTTCAAACATGTGCTGACTGGAGCTCCCCTTCTCCCCAGATCTGATGCCAGTGATGCCGGAAGTTGGTCTGGAGTTGCATTCACGTCGGCCTATCCCTGCAGGTCACTTGCTGTTGCGTGGCCTCCTGACATCTATGAAACCAGCCGCATCCAACTCAGTTCCTTCTACACCCCAGCATCTTGGATTTCTGGTGCGGTGGTGTACGGCTATCCTGAAGGACGGACACACCCCAATGCGCGTCCCAGGACAGAAATGCTTTTGGATTTTGCCTTGGATCGACTTTTGCTCCAACCTGGGCCGCGGTTCATGGCAGGCGACTGGAATTTTCCTGTCGAATCGTTACACATCGTTGACAGGCTGCATCAACTGGGCTGGGTTGAAGTCCAAGACTTGTGCCTCTCTCGGACCGGCCGACCCATTGTCAATACCTGCAAAGGTGCTACCAGAAAGGACTACCTGTGGCTTTCGCCCGAGCTTGCTCTTGGATTTTTGGATCTCCATGTGGACTCCGAAACCTTTGCCGACCACGCTGTCCTTGTTGCGTCCTTTGTTGGTGGCCGTGCACACCTCGAACGTTTTGTTTGGCCGTGCCCTAAACCTGTTCCATGGTCTAAGGTCTCTGTCATGTCTGAGAGTGTGCCTTTTTGTTCCCCGCATGACCCCACTCAGCAGTATTCCAAGCTTTGGCACCAAAGAGAATCCCAAGCTCAGCTTGACTTGGCTGATGAATGGATGCCGGGTATGGCGGGCAGGGCTGCACAAATCAAGCCCAGACGGGTCACTAGTAGCCAAGTGCCCTTGAAGCAAGGTCGTGCAGGCGACATCCAGCCGGCCTTCTTTGGATTTTCAGCAGTGCACGCCAAACAGTTCAAGCAACTCCGCAGGCTGCAGAACTTCTGTCGGTGGGTTGACCAGCGTCCCCAAACTGGCATTGTTGATTGCTTGCATGGCATTGGACTTTGGAATTCCATCCTTCGGGCCCCTGGATTTGGCTCTTCTTTCTCTGAGTGGTGGCATTCGCGTCACTACCGCAGTCCTGCTGACCCTGTCCACATCCCTCAGATATGTCCCAGTCCTTGCCAGGCTCGGCAGATCTTTGATGCGGTGCTTGCTGAAGTCCGACTGCTGGAGCAAAGGTTGAACCATGCCAGGGCTGCCCACCGAGTTGCCCAACATGCCCATGATCGGCATCTTGTGTTCCGGGAAGTTGCTCGTGAACCCCCTGAACCGGTTGAAACGTTGATCCATCGGGTTGAAGCTGAGGTTGTTCATGTTGACTTGTCTGAGAGCGCTGTTGAACTTGCTGGCCCAGTCAGCCTTGACCCTTGTGAGACGTTGTGGATTGCAGGCAAGGAACGCAATGTTATCCATGCAGACCATGACAAAGTTTGGCTCACTGAGGTGGATGATGTTCATCCGAAGTCGAAGTTGGTGCAATCCAGACATGTGGGCGACCTGAAGGCCATTTTTGATGCTTTTCATGAGCAGTGGCAATTGCGTTGGTGCAAGCATGATGGAGTGCCTTTCTCACATTGGTCTGAACTTGTGGCTTTTGCACAGCGGGTTATTCGTCCTAACCGGCTGCCTCACCTTGTTGTTGATGGTCCCTTGATCCAAGCCGAAGGGGCACGCAAAAAGAAGAAAGCAGCCACTGGCCTTGATGGTGTCAGTCGTGCCGATCTTCTCTCAGCGGATCCTTCCACCCTACAGAGCTTGGCCGATCTTTACACCCGTGCGGAATCAGATGGGCATTGGCCCAGTCAACTTGTTGCGGGCAAGGTCCATTCATTGGCCAAAACAACCTCAGCTGCGTCAGTCGGTGACTACAGACCCATCACAATCTTTGGACTTCCATATCGCATTTGGAGCAGTGTCCAGTCTCGATACTTGCTGCGATTTGCAGAAAGCTGGGTTGATGAAAGTGTCTATGGCAATCGCCGTGGACGCCAAGCTTCAGACCTTTGGACTTTCTTGTTGCATGAGATCGAGAATGCGTACGCCACTTCCACTCCTTTGGCTGGCGTTTCGGCTGACTTGGTGAAATGCTTCAACTGCGTTCCTCGGTTTCCTGCGTTGTGCCTTGCGGTTTTGGTTGGAACACCGGATGCCGTCACCACGGCATGGAGCGGCGCTTTGGCTCAGATGTGTCGCCACTTCAAAGTGCGTGATTCCTACTCGGATGGATTTCTGACCAGCACTGGACTTGCTGAGGGTTGCGGCTTGAGTGTCTATGGAATGCTTCTGGTTGACAACCTTTTTGCGTGTTGGATGCGGGTGCAGGCTCCCTCCATTCGGTGTTTGACTTATGTTGATGATTGGCAGACATTGACGATGGATCCCAACTTTGCCATTCGTCAACTTGACCTTGTGGAGCAGTTTGCCAGTTACCTTGACCTCACTGTCGATCGCCGCAAGACTTTTGGATGGGCCACCTGCCCCAACATGAGGCGAATCATGCGGGAAGGAGGTATCACTGTCTTTCACCATGCCCGTGAGCTTGGAGGCCATTTTGGAATTTCCAGGCAATACACAAATAGCACCCTCACTGATCGGCTTTCCAACCTTGATTCCTTTTGGGACAAGCTTCGCCTTAGCAAAGCTCGGTACCCTGCCAAGCTGTTTATGCTTCGAGCGGTTGCGTGGCCACGTGGGCTCCATGCTGTCTCTAGTGCCCCTGTCGGAGATCAGATTTGGCTCCAAGTGCGTAGAAGCGCGGTCAAAGCGCTGGGCTGGCAGAAACCAGGTGTCAACCCGGCAGTCCTTCTTGGCATGGTTGAGTACATGGTTGACCCGCAGTTTGTTGGCTATCTTTGGACTTTTCGTGCGTTGCGCGTGCACAGCCCGGTGGAGTTTTGGGCGTCTGTTGTTGCCCCGCTGGCTCATGGAGACTTGGACTTGCCTCCCAACTCCCCTGCGGCTGTTGTTCTCCACCGCATTCATTCCCTTGGATGGTCCGTGCAGCGTTCCGGCCATGTCAGTGACCAGTTTGGCTCGTTTTGTCTGCAGTCGTGCAATTGCATGGAGCTTGAACTTCGCCTTGCTTGGGCTTGGAATTCAGTTGTTGCACATAAGGTTGCCCACCGCTCTGACTTCCAAGGGCTCACTCATGTGGATCTAAGAGCCACACGTCAAGCTCTGCAAAGCTTGCCAGTTGATGACCAAGCACTCTATCGTTTGAGCCTTGCGGGCGGGCTGTTCACTGAGCGGTACAAAGCCAAATGGACCGACAAACCAGACACCTGTCGATGGTGTGGGGCCTCAGATACCTTGCGGCATCGTTACTGGGAGTGTCCTCAACACCATGACCTCCGGACTGCTTTGGCTCCTGACGTTCCAGCCGTGTTGGACTTTCTTCCACCTGCCCTTGCGCTTCGTGGATGGGCACAGCTTCCTCCTACCTGGCACACCTGGACTCAACTCCTCTTGGACTTGCCTTCCGATCCCCCAGTGCCATGGACTTCCCTGGACTCTGACCGTTGGGCTGACCTGTTCACTGATGGTTCCTGTCTGTGTCAGTCGAACCCCCTGCTGCGTTGTGCTGCATGGTCGGTTGCTGTGGTTCCACCCTTTCAAGCCGAGTGGGCTCCTGGACAGGTGCAGATGCTTGCCGCCTCCTACCTACCTGGGTTGTGCCAAACCGCCTACAGAGCAGAATTGTATGCTGTTGCCTATGGTCTTCATTGTGCAGCAGCGACAAACACACCGGTGCGTATCTGGACAGATTGCAAAGGAGTGCTTTTGAAGTTTCATGCATTGGTGCGAGGCCACAGCAGACTCAATCCCAATCGAAGCAATGCAGATTTGTGGACGTGGGTTTTGCAATCAGTTGACAGGCTTGGCAGCGAGAATGTGCAGCTGTTCAAGGTGCCGGCTCACCGCGCTCTGCATAGCGCTACCAGCCGTAAGGAAGCGTGGATGTTTTTTCACAATGACTATGCGGACAAGGCGGCCAGACTTGCAAACCAGTCAAGGCCCAGTGGATTTTGGCAAGTTTGGGAGCGACATGCAAGTGCAGTTGTGACAGCCGACAATCTGTTTCATCAGGTGCGGGATTTACAGCTTGCAGTTGGAAGGCGACAGGTTCAGGCCAGCGTCAATGTTGCCGCAGATCCTGAGCCTGAACCTGTTCGCTCTACGAGAGTTTTTGTCAAGGAGTTTTCCCTGGGACAATGGACGGGCGACATTCCTGCACAGGTTGCACGCCTTTTTGGGCTTGAAATTGTGCGGAAAGCTATAGCTTGGTTTCGTGCTCGAGTTACAACTGGCGCTGGAGGAACCCTGGAATGGATCTCGTTTCATCAGCTCTACATTGACTTCCAGCTCACATGGGGACACCCAGGACCGATCAAGGTCCAACGGCAGTGGGTGGACGCCGCCATGCGTCCGTACCTTGCTCCGGAAGCGTTTTCCAGCAGGGTTCGGGTACGTTGGTTCCGGCAGATGATGAAAGCAATTTGGCAATCGACTGGTGTGGCTGTGGCTCTCCAACAATGTAGGCCGAATTCCAATTTGCTGCAAGCGTATCTGCCTTCTGCATCGTTACCCTGGGACACACGTGCGGTGCAGGAAGTTGAGACCTGGCTGTCGACGGCCTTGACGCGGCCGTGCACCCGTGATGCAGGGGTGCTCAAGAGCCTGCCCTTAGCAGCCAAGCTGGTTCGGATGCAGGTGTGCCTCGATTAGAGGGTTCAACTTTGACTGTCCGCCTCGCTCCACCAACTGAGCAGGTGTGAAGCACGAAAAATGGACCGAAAAATGGTGGTTTCATTTTTTATTTTCCATAATATATGGGATAATCATCCCAAATGACTTTCATATTTTTCAAGATGCTTATGGCACCACCAACCAGTTTAATGAGTTTACACCGGGCTTACAATGGGATTTAATGGGTTTATATGGGATTCCATGGGATTCAATGGGTTTAAATTGGTTAATGTATGAACAATAATAATAATAACCTACCCCATTTATGTTTGAACAACGGAAACATCATACAACAATAATCTACTTTCTTACGGTGAAGTAAGAGATCAATTATTTTGGAGCTGGAGTAATTCCTCAATTTGTTGATGTTTCTTTGAGACAACAGGCTCTTTGTTGAAACAACAACGTGTTTTCTCTGCCGTCTAAATTCAATCAAAACACAGCACAAACAAATAGTAATGACAGCGGTGGCAGTTATTATCGCCTGGAAACTTCTGGGTTTTCTATTGTTTTTACTGAAAGGAACAATCACAAGTACAACGGTTGCAGTTTATCATTGCCCATGCACTCCTGCAGGATATATATATATATATATCATACATACATGCTTTTACTGGCGCAAAAAGTGGAAGTCAGACCAAACATATTTCACTTGCTTTGACCAAATGGTATAGATTTTTTCTGGGCGGCAACATGGCAATATTAAAGAAAGTCGGACGGGCCTCATTACTCTTAGTATTGGCAAACAAATGGTCATTTGTTCGATTCGCTTTTATTATTGCTGGGAGTTTAATAGTGTTCTATATTGTTTTTGATACATGATGACTACATGGGATTCACGATAGGCGATATGGATGGTGCATAACGACTAAGAAGGTAATCATCTAACTTGTGCCCCCCCAAAAAAACACACATCTGGCTGTTCAAAAAGTGGTGGTACCTATTTAGACGACCATTTCAGTAGCACATTATCTCGCGAGGTGATCCTCCTAAATTGTCCTAATTTCATCAATCAGGTCGGCGATTGACATTGGACAATCTGGATATGGGGATGGATCCTACACCATGGGACCTGCGTGGATTTGCAGTCAAATATACCAACGCCAGTTTGGTGCGAACAGAAGGGCAGAAAGGATTTGGCCCATAAACTAATTAAGAATGAACCTGGATTTGGCCCATTAAGATTCATACTGACTTGATATTAAGTGGATTTGATAGAAACACTATGGAATATCAAGTCAGTATGCCCCTATTTGGGAAAATTGCCACGGTGCCCTTAACATGATTGATGATTGGGGATGGTTTGTTTTTGTCGATGTGGACTCACATTACTCAACAAACATGGCGATTTCATCAACAAGCATTGGAGTCTGGCACCTACATAACTGGCTGGAAATCTGCCTGTGGGCTGATTGGCAAGTTATACAGATTGCTTGCAGCTGGATGAAAACTCAAAACCTTTTGTTTCTTGTTTTTCAGCACCTTTTTATGGGGGGATTCACCCAGGTTAGTATTCGGATGTCCACGCTGAGGTGCTATGGATGTGTCAATTGAATCACTGGATCTTCTCCATGCCTACGCAGATACAAGAGGTCGCTGGCCGAGGTGATCTTGTCGGGAAGCACTTTGGTAGGGTCAACAACCCCATGTGACACATGTGTTACTGTATTATTGTAATACAAGTTATTTTGAATAGATCATCATCATTTGCAGCAGCATCATCATCCGCAGCATCATCATCAGCATCATCATCATCATCAACATCATCACAATCAAGATCAGGATCAACATCAGCATCATGATCATCTGATCATCAACATCATCATCATCATCATCATCATCATCATCATCCTGATCATCATCATGATCACCATCATCTCCAGCAAAGATGGAATACCCCACTTTTTTGCCATCAATCAGGTCACAATTGTGGGCATGATCTGTTTTTAAACATCGAACTTAGGGCAGTCTGGGCAGGCTCACAGTTCACTGGGATAGCTGGACGCAGCCAGTTCGCAAAATGTGTGTGTTACATGGCAAAATGTTGATGAATTCTATGTCCATTTATGCCCTCTTCAGTTCTGTAGCTGATGGTCCACGCGAATGATGGTCACGGCAGGTTTTTTTTCTGTTAATTTCCGATGTTGTGAGTTGATTTGATATCCAATAACCAATAAACATACGTTCCGTTTTTCATGTTTTTTTTTTGTATGATTTGTATGTGTCTTTTTGTATTTTTCTTGGTTCTTGGCCATGAGTTTGATTCTTTTTCATCCTCAATGTTCCGATGCTTTTCGCCTAAATGTGATGGTTCATATACTTCCGAAAAAATGATACTAAGCATACTTAGCTTCGTCCATTGGTACCACATGTTCGGACGCCATTTTTGTCGTTTTTGTCGCCACCAAGCTTGCCAGGAACGTCCGATTTGAACACAGAACTGGAAAATCTGCCACAGATCATCTCTACCGCGGCCGCTCCAAAGATTTCTGTGTCGCGGTGGTGAGATGGGTCCCAGTCTATCAGTTTGGGGAACCGTTGGCGTTGGACCATAACTTGCTGAGTGGCTGTTTAAAAGAAAGGTTCATATGTTGTTGACCCTATTTGGGATTATGATCCAAATTGACGGGTGGCTCAACCACCAACCTTTGGATTTTGAAATGACTAGCATGGGGGATTGTTTAGAGGAACACAAAAACAACAACGATGATGATGATGGTGATGATGATGGTGATGATCATGATGATGACCATGATGGTTTTTATTGTTTTGAGCAACAATATTGACAGGATCACATAAGAATGTGTGTATATACTTATACATGAATATGTTGAACGCGTATGTTTATATACATGTAATTTGTGTTGTTGCTACTGCGTTCATTAATACTGCTATACAATTTTATACTATTATTGGTATTGTTTCTGATATTTGTTGTTGTCGTTGTTTATCAGTTCTATTGTTTTTCACTTATTCAACTTATTATCCTATTATTACTGGTTACTAGGATGTATTAATATGACGTGGTTTATTTTGAATTGTGTCTAATGATCATTGCTACATACTATGATCATTCTTCTTCGTATGTTGCCAGTGTAAATCTGTGACAGTGAGACCATGGATTCCATGGATCCAAAGTTGATTCATCTGGAGGAATATATATATATGTATATATGTAATATGGAATTACTATATATGTAATATGGAGTATTGATAGAATATATGGAGTATTGATATTATATATATGTAATATGGAATTCGAATACTACGGACGAGTATAGATAGTACAGGTGAATGTGAATGAACATGAATTGATGTGGAGTAGTATTGATTCATATGGACCAAGCCGGATTCATGTGAGTTCATATGTCCCATGGTCAGATCTTGGGTAAATGGCCCTTATTGGATGATAGTCATCAATCCATGTCTGGGGACTTATATTTCCATTATGTTTGGATTTCCACTATTGGATGCATGACTGTACCCCGTTTGACCATGGCACGTGTTATGTATTTATATAATGTATATAAAGTGATAATATCAATATTATATATATATACAGTGATTATTAGGTAATTAACAATGTAACATGCATGTCTTAAGAATCCTTAATGTTCATCTTATAGACGGCTTATCATTTGGAAATTGTGGTCGCTGCATGGCCTGTATCAACCCGGTTCACATGCACAGTGGTTCAGTATTCACCCCAGTAAATGGATTGTCACCCAGTAAACAAGACAATAGTGAACACTGTATAGACAATATCATACATGATGCATACATGCATACATGCACATGTATTTATAAATATACATACAAACCATACATACATACATACATACATGCATACATGCATACATGCATACATACATATATACATAGATAGATACATACACAGATAGATAGATAGGTAGACATACTTACATACATACATACATGATGGATAGATACATACATACATACATCGATAGATAGATAGATACATACAAACATACAGACAGACAGACATACTTACATACATACATACATGCATACATACATACATACACACGCACATGCACACATACACATACATACATACATACATACATACATACATATTTACTTTCTTACTTACTGACTTACTTACATACTTACATACTTACATACTTACTTACATACTTACATACATACATACATACATACACACATACACATGCACACATGCACACATACACACATACATACATACATACATGCATGCATACATCCATCCATCCATCCATCCATCCATCCATCCATCCATACATACATACATACACACATACACAAACATACATACATATACATACATATACATACATGCATATACATACATGCATGTACATACATATACATACATGCATATACATACATACGTACATACATACATACATACAGACAGACAGACAAACAGAGAGACAGACATGCATACATACATACATACGCACATACACATACACATACATATATATATACTACACATGTTTTTTCACAATATATGCATATACTGAAACTATACATTTGTATGTTGCCAAAAAATGGAAAACAACACAGTTCAACAGCTAAATCCGATGGGACCAGGTGAACTTTGGAATGGCCTTGACTCAGCCGATATGTGATGCTATCCTGTCGACACGCTTGAGATTCCCGGCTTCCAGGATGGGGAAAACACACAGCTTTGCGGGGGATTTGTTAATGGTAGAACCATGGTTTAATGGGAAGAATCCTGGGTTAATCATGGGATAATGATGGTCGCATAAAAACTGGTTATTCTAAGGTGTCATTAAGCATGACAAGCTGGAACATTCACCACATATGAGCATTTCAATTCATTTTTCACATTTCAATGGAGGATTTTCCATTGCCATGCTACCAGAGGGGCTGTGAGCGTTTGGTACTGAGGGATCCCAAGATTGAGACCGATTTGGAAGCAGCGTTGAAATCACTACGCAGAAATGAATGACATGAGCTATATTTTTTGAACGTACTGGCACTTGTTACATATATACATATATATTTTCAGACATATAAAGGTGTTTTAGTTTGCTACCAATTTCACAGGCTCTACTGTGGAACTACGGAACTAAGCTCAAGGCCAATTGCTTTGGAAGCTTTTGTTGGTTTAGAAGAGAAAGGCATTCAACATTGATTGCACCTTTGCAATTGGACCACAACATGGTTGGATGATCAGTAATCATCCTGCAGTGTATTCACAATCTCTTCAATCATCCAGTTTTGTGATATCCAATACTTATCCGATCGTTCTTGATCCAACTCTTTACAGAGCGTCGATTTCCTACAAAAACTGCAATTGAAACCCTCTTTCACTGCGCTTAGCTGAGGATCCTTGCGTGTGGAGCGTGTTCCACACAACGACCCTTTCTTCCAGATGTTTGCCATGCTACCAATGCAGAGCCCATTCTTGGAAGAGCTGGCTCTCGGTTCCTCGCCTTGGTGAGTTGTTATAGTTGGCCCAAAAAGGACACACCATGATGAGATTGGTTACTTGATGTTTATAGGCATAGGTGATACATCATGTATATATATAGATATACCATGATAGGGCCTCTATACATGATTATATATGTTGAACAATAGCCACTTGATGTTTGCTGATTCGATATGCCAATCACTAATCATTGCTGTATCACAAATCATGATACATCTCTTGAAGGTCATGAGTCATATGTCCCCAAAAGGGGACACGTGGGTGCGGGCGCCCTACGACCCCGACAGGTTTGAGACTAAGATTGCTGGGTGAGGCATGGACATGTTCAAAATTGTATATATAGATATATACATACGCATCTTTGCATATCAAGTCCATGAATTATATATATATATATGTACTATAGATCAAACCCAACACCACAAGTCCACTTTTCCAACACATTCCCAAGAAATCTAGCTCCCACCTAAGAGGTTGACAGGTGGGCCCAATCCATTGTGATACCTGCGATGATGCATTGTTTTATTTTCCGAATTTACCTGGTGTTCTCTCTTTTCGTTTCCGATCTCTTTCGAGTTTTAATTGACATATGTTGCATCCAGAAGTTCAACAACACTGGTGTGGAAATCGGACCAGCAACTCAAGTCACCATGAATGATTCTGGAGGCTGTTGGGGGACAATGTCAGGCCACACACCCTCAGACAATTCAATATTGTCTGGTTGGTGGTTTGGAACATGTTTTATTTCTCCATAGATTGGGAATGTCATCATCCCGACTGACGAACTCATATTTTTCAAAGGGGTTGTTTTACCACCAATCAGTTGTATGAGTCGTGTATCCTTTTGGAGATGTTATAGCTGATCTGCGACACTTCAACCTTGTCTTGTTTGCGTGGTGATTTGGAATCAGATCCGCCGATATTGATGACCGGTTACTCTTGGGGACGCCTTTTACAGATCTGGATGGTGATATGAGGATTGACACATACCTATTTTTGGCACCATATTTGCGGATGGACATCTTACACTCCAAGCTTGAGTTTCACCTTGTACCAGGGGTTAGACCCATATTTACATTCATGTGATATTTCTGGTTTTATGCTCACAGATTGCTGTTTTAGTTCCCCACGATTTTGAAGTTCAATCACCCGGCTTTCCCTCTCCACTCCTTCAGGCCATGGTATGGCCAGTGGCCGTTAAATTGTCCAAAAATCAGCCAGTATCGTAATCCCTGGTTCCTAATATTGTATGAACCAAACGAAACCCTATACTCTGATTACCCTGATTCCCTGATTGGTGGTTTTCAACTATTTTTGGGCTCCCCACTTCATGGTGGTTGAACCATAAAAAAAACCTTCACACCAATTGATGGTTTATTATCCACAGTGTTTATATGATCACCGGGAATGGGGATGACCGTTGTGTAATCCACTTGGGCACAGCAAGTCTTTGCAGGTCATCTTGCTATTACCAGCGCCTACGAACTGACCTTTCTTGACACGCTCTGTGACCTGCTGAATTTTTGTCCACAGGATCCCTCGAAAAAAATTCGAACGGTTCGGGAAGATTACACCAAATGGCAATTATGAAAATCGATTCTTGCAGGGGATAGATACCAGTTTTATTTATATACGTATCTCTATATTATATATACATATATATATACATATATATACATATATATATACATATAGATAGATACATTGAACATATATATATAATATTGTCACATATGTGTAATACATTTAAAAAATACAGAAAGGGACGCCACCAGGGCCCACCAAAATACATGTCTAGAAATTTAAAGTCATAAAGTCAATGATCTCTCTTAGTTTTTTTTTGTGTGGAGATATTTTTTTCATTTAGTTTTGTTTTGGTGTAGGGTCCGTTCATTTGGTGAGGAGGGGGGGAGCAAATACATATATATATATATATATTTTTTTGCTGCCCCCCCAGACTGTGAATAACATCAATCCCTTCTAAACTCGCTTGAAAGCCTTGAGTGGTGGGGCTGTACTATCGTCGGTGGTTCAACATCTAAAATATAAACCAAAAAGAACTGATGATACCATACTATTACTCTGTCAGGAAGGCAATTGCAGTGGACAAGAACGGAGTACGAAAGGAAGAGACGGATTATGAAAAAAAAGAAAAACGTACAGTTTTTTAAAGCTAGGGAAAAGGACGGCATATCGACATAACTTTGCACAATTTATATATTAAGCCAGTGGCAAGTAGCACGACGGCATGACGCAGCCTGAGAAACTGCGTGATGTAGCATGAGCAGCTGCCCAACACAAAACAAAAATGGTAAATATATTGATTGAATTTGCAAGGCAACAGCACAATGGGAAATAGCGACACACATCATGCTTTATGTGGAGATGGTGTGTTGTTCCATATGTTTGAGTAAATGATAGACTAAATCTTTATTGTTCGATCTGCTGCGTGAAAGAAATCACGCAATATTTGTGCTTAGTAAGGAGATAGTTTCAGGTATGATAGTATATATATATATATTATTTTTGCTACAAGTATACAATATGTCTATATACCATATAAATAGCAGTCTTCAAGTAGATATTGATGTCTCAAGAGCTCCTTGTGATATAGGCAACATGGATGTTGCATATGCCATAGCCATATTATGCTGTATCAGCACACCCAAGGTGCATATGTGTTTAGAATGTCACTGTAGCCATTTTAAGTGTATATATATATATATATTGATGAACTTGCATTTTCCTTGGTAGTACTACTGTATGCATCTATGATATGAATGGTGCATATAAGTATATAGTGCATGCCAATACATACACACATTTTCCACATGTACTTTGCATATGCAATGGAATTCTTCTAGGATTGACTGCAATAAAGACTCTTTGGTTGCAACTGACTTTGATCATAAGAGTTGGCACATGGCAAGGGCAACTCCAACTTACCCGTTCTCCAAACATATAGGTTTTTCCTGCATATTTCACAGTAATTTGCTATGCCACTGCACATCTATGCAGATTCCCTGTTACCATATTTGTTTGGCTGTGCTTTTATGACAGGATGAATAACACCCAAAAAGAATTAAGACTGTTTATAAAACTGGACAGAAAACAGCTATGACACAACACATTGGACTAGGAAGTAGCATCTCCCAGAATGCATTCGTATGGAAAGGGGTCCCTTCTCCATCCTTTTGATCAATACTCACTCCTGTTCTTAGCTCTTTGATCTATATACTGTATGAAAAGTTTCAGGTGTTGTTTGTGCTTTAGTGGGTGAATGGTTTCAACCAGTATGCAAGCGCATTGCCACAAGTGTGCAGTGGATATACAGTAGAAATGGCAGCTTCAAACATGCACTGATATCTAGAGGATTTCTTGTGATAAAAACAATACATTTTTTTGCAAATACCATAGCCATTTGCTGTGTCAACACATCCAAGCTGCATATGCACTTAGAATGCAACTATTTTATATATATATATATATACATGTTTTCTTATATAGTACATACAGTTATGGAATGGGTGGCATGTAAGTCACCTATGCCCTTACAGGCACAAGTTTTGTACATTTTTTCCTGCATATGCAATGGTATTCTTCCAGGTTTTAATGCAGTAACAGCTCTTTGCTTAAAATATTGGTTGATCACAAGAGTTGGCAAATTCCAATGGCACTTCCATTTCTCCCTTGCTTCAGAAAAGGCGTTTTCCTGCATATTCCATGGTAATTTGCTGTGTCACTGCAAATATATATATATATATATAACGGCATACATTTTAGTATCATAAACGTACTCATGACTGTGGGTAAAACTTAAATTATGCCAGTATAAGTTTATCATGGTATCCAAAAGGGCACAATACCAAGTAAAAGAGACACCTATGCAACCTTACCAAACAATTGTATCTATAGAATGGCAGCCTTGTTTTGTGCATCGATGTAGCAAGTTACCATGAAGTATGCCAAAAACATATTGCAACTACTTGAGCAGGGACAGTAGATTGGAATTTGCACTTTCATTTGCTAAAAGAGTTCCACTGGAACTGTCGTGTCAACCAAAAGGCGACCTGGCAGTCCAATAGCAAAAACCACCAATGCAAATACCAAGTGCTATGTGTATATATATATACCGTCTTTGCAATAGCTGTATACCTAGGTAGTATCTACATTTTAATATATACATGAAGTACCAACTGACATCATGAATTTAGCTGTATACCTGGGTAGTACCAACTGACAGATACCAGTTTTATTTATATACGTATCTCTATTATATATACATATATATATATATACATATATACATATAGATAGATACATTAAACATATATATATAATATTGTCACATATGTGTAATACATTTGAAAAATACAGAAAGGGACGCCACCAGGGCCCACCAAAATACATGTCTAGAAATTTAAAGTCATAAAGTCAATGATCTCTCTTAGTTTTTTTTTTGTGTGGAGATATTTTTTTCATTTAGTTTTGTTTTGGTGTAGGGTCCGTTCATTTGGTGAGGAGGGGGGGAGCAAATACATATATATATATATTTTTTGCTGCCCCCCCAGACTTTGAATAACATCAATCCCTTCTAAACTCGCTTGAAAGCCTTGAGTGGTGGGGCTGTACTATCGTCGGTGGTTCAACATCTAAAATATAAACCAAAAAGAACTGATGATACCATACTATTACTCTGTCAGGAAGGCAATTGCAGTGGACAAGAACGGAGTACGAAAGGAAGAGACGGATTATGAAAAAAAAGAAAAACGTACAGTTTTTTAAAGCTAGGGAAAAGGACGGCATATCGACATAACTTTGCACAATTTATATATTAAGCCAGTGGCAAGTAGCACGACGGCATGACGCAGCCTGAGAAACTGCGTGATGTAGCATGAGCAGCTGCCCAACACAAAACAAAAATGGTAAGAACATTGATTGAATTTGCAAGGCAACAGCACAATGGGAAAGAGCGACACACATCATGCTGTATGTGGAGATGGTGTGTTGTTCCATATGTTTGAGTAAATGATAGACTAAATCTTTATTGTTCGATCTGCTGCGTGACAGAAATCACGCAATATTTGTGCTTAGTAAGGAGATAGTTTCAGGTATGATAGTATATATATATATATTATTTTTGCTACAAGTATACAATATGTCTATATACCATATAAATAGCAGTCTTCAAGTAGATATTGATGTCTCAAGAGCTCCTTGTGATATAGGCAACATGGATGTTGCATATGCCATAGCCATATTATGCTGTATCAGCACACCCAAGGTGCATATGTGTTTAGAATGTCACTGTAGCCATTTTAAGTGTATATATATATTGATGAACTTGCATTTTCCTTGGTAGTACTACTGTATGCATCTATGATATGAATGGTGCATATAAGTATATAGTGCATGCCAATACATACACACATTTTCCACATGTACTTTGCATATGCAATGGAATTCTTCTAGGATTGACTGCAATAAAGACTCTTTGATTGCAACTGACTTTGATCATAAGAGTTGGCACATGGCAAGGGCAACTCCAACTTACCCGTTCTCCAAACATATAGGTTTTTCCTGCATATTTCACAGTAATTTGCTATGCCACTGCACATCTATGCAGATTCCCTGTTACCATATTTGTTTGGCTGTGCTTTTATGACAGGATGAATAACACCCAAAAAGAATTAAGACTGTTTATAAAACTGGACAGAAAACAGCTATGACACAACACATTGGACTAGGAAGTAGCATCTCCCAGAATGCATTCGTATGGAAAGGGGTCCCTTCTCCATCCTTTTGATCAATACTCACTCCTGTTCTTAGCTCTTTGATCTATATACTGTATGAAAAGTTTCAGGTGTTGTTTGTGCTTTAGTGGGTGAATGGTTTCAACCAGTATGCAAGCGCATTGCCACAAGTGTGCAGTGGATATACAGTAGAAATGGCAGCTTCAAACATGCACTGATATCTAGAGGATTTCTTGTGATAAAAGCAATACATTTTTTTTTGCAAATACCATAGCCATTTGCTGTGTCAACACATCCAAGCTGCATATGCACTTAGAATGCAACTATTTTATATATATATATACATGTTTTCTTATATAGTACATACAGTTATGGAATGGGTGGCATGTAAGTCACCTATGCCCTTACAGGCACAAGTTTTGTACATTTTTTCCTGCATATGCAATGGTATTCTTCCAGGTTTTAATGCAGTAACAGCTCTTTGCTTAAAATATTGGTTGATCACAAGAGTTGGCAAATTCCAATGGCACTTCCATTTCTCCCTTGCTTCAGAAAAGGCGTTTTCCTGCATATTCCATGGTAATTTGCTGTGTCACTGCAAATATATATATATAACGGCATACATTTTAGTATCATAAACGTACTCATGACTATGGGTAAAACTTAAATTATGCCAGTATAAGTTTATCATGGTATCCAAAAGGGCACAATACCAAGTAAAAGAGACACCTATGCAACCTTACCAAACAATTGTATCTATAGAATGGCAGCCTTGTTTTGTGCATCGATGTAGCAAGTTACCATGAAGTATGCCAAAAAAATATTGCAACTACTTGAGCAGGGACAGTAGATTGGAATTTGCACTTTCATTTGCTAAAAGAGTTCCACTGGAACTGTCGTGTCAACCAAAAGGCGACCTGGCAGTCCAATAGCAAAAACCACCAATGCAAATACCAAGTGCTATGTGTATATATATATATATATACCGTCTTTGCAATAGCTGTATACCTAGGTAGTATCTACATTTTAATATATACATGAAGTACCAACTGACATCATGAATTTAGCTGTATACCTGGGTAGTACCAACTGACAAATCCTATGAACTTAATAAACATCACACTAAAGGTATGCAGTAAATGACAAAAACACACAAAACATATGACGAAAACACAAAAAACACTGAAAAACACGGGCCCTCACAACGTCCCACTCTCAAAAAATACACATAATACATATATATATATATACATATATACATATATGTATGTATGTATATAAATAGTATATATATACACATACAAATACATTTACATATATATATATATACAAAGTCATTTACATATTTATACTTATATATATATAGAGATACATACATACATACATACATACATACATACATACATACATACATACATACATACATACATACATACATACATACATACATACATACATACATACATACATACATACACGCTGTTTTTAACAAACACACACATATATATATATACACTTAATATATAGGCTCCAATTATATGTTTTTTTGTTTTTGTTTTTTTAATGTTTACCATGATTTCCTGTGCCTGCAAACTTACCCAACGTAGTGGCTTGCGACTGCGTTGAAACCGTGATGGCAAAGGTTTTTTTTTTGCATAATATATGTATATATGTATGTAGATCTAGAGAGTATATCTCTATACAACCCCTAAAACAATAGAAACGTAACATCATTCTAAGATCAACCAAATAATGCCTGTACTATTACTTTTTTTTCTTGGTGGTCCTATATATATATATATACATACTTATATATATAATATACATATATATATATGTACATATTACACATAGCAATCTTGTTTGGAACCACAGCTGCTGTGCCCCATCTTCGGCGGCCACGGTCAGGTGCATTCCGCCACCTAAGCCTCTTACGACTGCGTGCTCTGGAGGGCGATGGCCTCGGTCAGCTGACGCTTGGATGATTTGGACGCTTGGATGTGTATGCCACTTAGTGGTTTATAATATATATATATATATAACATATACTGTATATATGTATATCACATATATATATACTATTATTATTTATTATTATTATTGTTATTATTATTATTATGTTATTATTACTATTATTATTACACATATATATTTATATTATATCACATATATATATATATAACATATATAATTTGGGGTATAACCCATTTGCAAAGTGGGATGCACCCCCAAGTAGGACTGCTACGGCCTCCTGATTTGGCACTGGGGTCGAGGGGAAAGAGCTTCTTGAAACTATCTGTAAACGAACCTGAAACTTTAAATCAAATCTACCCTCTGGTAAACTAACAAAACTATAGAAAATCACCAGTTTTAAGAGGTAAATCAACTATTTCTATGGCCTTGTTCAATAGTTTTTTTGTATGTTTACCAGGCCGGGTAACATCCTGGAGAAATTGGGATTTATGGACCACGTTGAAAGTTACTTCACCAAACGGTGGAGATCTCAGTGTCCAAAAACGGATGGTGACCCCATTTGCGGTCTGTTGATACCCCATTTGCGCCCCATTTCCTTTGTTTGGTAAGGAAATCTCTTGGCATAAAAGGCACGCATATGCAACCATTTTTGAGCCATCACTGGGTTTCAGGGCTTGAAATAAACAAAGGGTTCGGTTTCAAAACAAAATAGAACTACCCAGATGTACCCTCTGCTTTTAACCCAGTCTGATGCCGGTATGTTGTTTTTCCCATACACGGATGGTTCGGTGGAGGAACAAAGCAGTAGGTATTTTTTGTTTTCCACTGGGATTGATCATAATTTTCCGCGTTCAAAAAAACTACTATATCAGCATAATTATAATTTGGGGCTATAGCCAAGTTTCAGACAGACCCAGGTATACCCAGGTCACCTAGTCCCAGATATGGTAGTGATGGTAAACTATATCCCATACCCATACCCATAGCCCATGTCTCCTGTCGCAGGGCTGGGATCCTTCCACATGTGGTGCAGCAGAACCGTCGCACGCTAGAGACGCCCCTAGCATCGCAAAACACCGATGGACTGGAAGTTGTTGACCATTGCTGACCCATTGAAACGGACTGTAGTTGTTTGGGGTTAGCAACCTCCCTGAAACAAGCAGGTGTTTTTTGGGATTTTCGTGCAGGGGCCAGTGGTGCCTGCAGTTTTGTACAAGATGAGTTGGAGTTGGAGTTGGGTTGTCCCGGTCATCACAAATGAAATCATGGTGTGGCAATGATATACAGTACAGTTTTTGTGTCATGCGTTGATGCGATTAAGATCAACAATTTAGTATATAGATACTGATACAAATCGTGTCATCTACTTCTTATTGGAACTACCCAAGCAAATTACCTTCCTGCCAGCTATCATAGACCCTGCCTAAATGGGGTTGGAAGATGTTGCTAGGGGACTGGTAGCATAGAAATAATCCCTTCCTCCTCTTTGGATCTTCTCACGGTTTGGTAGGGGGTTTACACTTATTTGGACCATTTAAGAGGTGTTTAATCTTGTATATAATATATATATAATTAATTGTATGAAATTATATATCTATATATCATATATATATATATACATATAATATGTATATATTATATTATATATACATCATGTTATATATAGTGTATATATATACATCATATTATATATAGTGTATATAATATATATATACACATTATACTATATATACATTATATCATATATATATATATGTTGTATTATATATATATGTATATTATTTATTATTATTATATATATATATGTTTTTGTGTCCGTCCGTTTGGTTGTGTTTTTTTTTTACAATGAAAAAAAAATCTGGAGACCCTCACCTGGCAGGTGGAAAATAAATGCAATGACCAGAAAAAATGGTTCAATCAACAGGAACAGTCACAACAGCAACAAACACAAACACAAACACCACCAAAAGGACGACAACAGCAACAACAACAACAACAACAACAACCAGAACAACCAGAACAACCACAACAACGGCAACAACAACAACTTTGCCATTTCTTCATCGGCTGCGCAGGTCCTACAAATGGCAGCTACTCACAGAATTACCTTCCTTGCCTTGCAAAATTCTCGAAAACACACCACCAGGTTCCAAAACGGGTAAAGCCAACAGCAACCATCAGTCATTTTGGTGACAATATCATTCAGCATAGCATAATCAATGGATATCAATGGTCTATATTTCCACAGCCATTCGGAATGGTCCAATGGTCACTGCGACTGCAGGTTGTATCTTGAAGACTTGGATGCGAAGACGCTTCTGTCTTGCATCGCTGGCTGCCGCAACTTGCGCTCCCTGGAAGTGGCAAAATCCTCATCAGCGACGCTGCGCCCCTGTCTTTCGGCCAAGCGGATTGGGGAGGCATAAATTATATATATATAGACTTATCCCTTCCTGGCGTTTGATCCGGAACCCAGCTAATGGTTATTTCCAGCATTTTCCAACATGTTGGACATGTGCACTACTAGCAGAGTTTGAAGGCGAAAATGTGGAATTTTGCCTTGTGTGCGGGGGTAATCTACAGTCATTGGGGAACACATTTCCTGAACTGTATGTGACAGGGTGGGCAAACTTTTGAGACTTGCTCACATATATTACTAAAATCTAGTAATCTTGTATGACCCAGGTGTTTGAAATCTATGTCGTCACATGTTTGGACATTTTTTTCAGAACCACTTATCGTTTTGCCGCAAGAACACATTCAAAATTGTCATATCAGAACACGATAACCATGTTTTTCGATAAATAAGGGTTCTTGGTTGCATGAGGGAAACTACAAGTGCATTACGGCCAAATTCCAGATTAAAGATACTAAAGATGGAAAACGTGTTCATGGTTTATGAAAAGCACGATTCGATATGTTTGTTTTTTCAATCATCATTTAAATAACGGGGTCGACATCTATGAATCCCTTCTCTCATTGTGGCTCTTACGGCCATCAAACATTCAAAATCACTACAGGGCCCGTTGTTCCAGCTGCAGCAAGTGGATTACAGTAAATTTGATTCTTTCATATTTTAGCGGTACATTCACAAGGATTTGTAGATTAGTAAATACTAATGCTTGCCTCATGTTTGAAGATCCACTAATCTTCTAAGCATGAATATCATGTGAAACTTATAACGACGTCACGGCAACAGCAACATAGATGATGGTTACTCTAGCACTCTTGCACCTCTCCAAGAATCACATGATTGAAAACTGCTGAAATCTTGAAATTTCACAGGAAGTTTAGGAATCCAATCTCAAACATAAGAGACACTTCCAAGCGGTGGAATCTGTGCGCGATTTCTGCCATCGGATTTTCTGGATTTGTGTCAGGTGCTGATTTTCCAAGCGGTGCGCTGGAGTTATGCATGAAGGTGGGATCAAGAGGGAGACTGAAGAGGTTTTTTTGGTGAAGCCATGACGACAGTTGTGAGTTGGTAAAAATGTTGGTTTATAACACCAACTGCAGGAACATGATGGCAGTATATGGCAGTTATGTACTGTAGCTGTGATTACGTATAAACTTCTATGGGCTTAGTCTGAAGACTCCCCCAACAAAACCTATTGGTTGATCAGCATGTTCCGACCTGGAACCACGCTAAGATGAACTGAACAAAGCTCTGCTGTGAATGGAAGCAGATTGGAACCACCAAACTAATGGAATGAATTGGGTGTACGAATTTTCCTCGAGCTTGTCAAGAGGTTGTTTGAATTAGCTCTGACCTATTTCACTATGGCATTTCAAGTTCAACTAGCCAGAGGCCCATGCAGGCGTGTGTCGCTCGGCTAATACCGGCCCTTGGTATGAGCAAGCAAGGCTCAGGAAATACTTTATATAACTTTGGGGTCTGCTTAGGGGTATACTGGGAAGTCCCCTCTTTTCAGACAATCCCAAATTTAGTCCAACATATCAAGTTAATTCTACAGAAAAACAAACAAACCCATTCCGTTTGGATACATAGCAACCCCCGATTGTTCCCCCAAATACCTCATTTAAACATCTATAATGACTATATAAAGGCTAACAATATATAGTAAAGCAATGTCATAAACCACCCATATTTTCATAGTTGATATCACCCATGGTAAGTTATTGGGGATGGTGGATCCTCTTGCGAGAAACCCGTTGGATCTGCTGCTTGGCACCGCGCTCAGGTTATAGCGCGGTGCCCCAAGTTGTGGAGCTTGCACTTGGACGCTGGGCGAAATAATGACGCGGTCAGCGAAAGGGGGGGGTTCATGGCATTTTCATTTTTTTTAAATGCGGTTTTAAGTGACATGGGTCTTTTTGTTAACCAAAAAGTATCCAGAAATCCTCATTTTTTTTTGTGTATTGAGAATGAGATCGCAATGGGAATAAGAAATGTGATGGGCCAACGATGGGATAAAACATCGACCAATAGCAGGATGGTGCACCACTTGATGGCAATTGGCAATGTGGATTTAATGGGATTTAATGGGATTTCACATGATTTCACCAAAATTGAGTCTAGGTTATATACTTGGATGGTATATAATGGTATATACAGTAATGGCATATAATGGCATATAATGGTACATAATGGTATATTTATAGTGGTTCACTTGTTTCTTTCCCCTATGTTCTGAGCATCTCGGTCCTCTCGGTATCTAAGATTTGCAAGGAATGTGGAAAAGCCACAAGGATCCATCCCCTGGATGGCACGATCCCCAAATGGTCGGTGGATTCTTGGGTGAATCTCACTTTATCATCACATTGATATCACATTGCGATGATGGTTGACTATTCTGTTCATGTTTGGGATGTGAAATGATGTGAACTAAAGGGCGCACAGGGTTTTGACTTCGACAACCATAGGGTGACTACAGGCTTTTGACTCACGAAACAGTAGAGGGACAAAGCCTGTCAGATATGTTGCAGCGCACTGCATGCAGCAGTGATCCACATCGCCACATTGTGTGATTCTGTCTATGGGCCCTGGGTCATGAAAAAATATCTCAAAAGTGTCATAATTCATCATCATCAACAAAAACAACAACATCCAATGCCTTTTTCTTCATGACAGGTCCAGCTATCAATTTCTCAAAGTCAGTCTTGGTCCAGCATTCAGTCAAGCAGAAAACAACAAGGAAGCAGGAAAGGGATGGAAAAGGAGCAAAAACAAACCCTTGTTCCTCTCTGTGAAAAAAGTCTTTGTTCCATCGGGTCCATCCAAAAAAAAATCCCTTCGTGACGTTTTCTTGTCGCTTCCTCAGAACACGGTGGCCTGCCCCGATGAAGCGAAAAACTTGGAGCGGCACATCTTGCAGATGGGCCGAGGGCTGCAAGAGCTTGGTACCTTGCAACATTTTGCCTTGGGACGGGCTGGACACAGGTACCGGTTCAGGGGGTGATCAGATACATTCTAAGCATATTACCACGCAGTTGTGGATAGAATATTCATGAATATTCCCAATATATCCCAATATATGTATGGTGTGTTTATAGTTGTCAACCACGTGCTACCAGAGATGCACATCCGAGCAGTTGGTGAATCTTCCACGCCAGTTGCGGTGCGGGCATGAACATGACACATGAGCGGCTTACCTCTCCATGTCTAATCATGTTCCAGGGAGCAATCTACAGTGTTCAACCCAAGTTGATTTCCCTCTTCCGCTTCATTTCGAGTTGTTCTCTAGGTTTGAGGTTCCAGGTGTGTAGTGACTGGGACATTGGCAGTGTCTGTTTCTTTCAGTTTCTTTCGAGTCAGGCGCAATTCACATGCGGCAATAAGATGAATCGCATGAAACACATGAAACAATGTTCAAATTGCTTCAGGTTTAAACATAACCATTGGGTACATGGGCTTTCCATGGCTTTCCTACACGCTGTTCAGGGAAGAGGCTCACCCCCCTACTGGTTCTTCTGCCAGCCCACTGAGTTGATCAAAATGTGGATTTTTATCGTGGCCTCCAGTACAACGGCGGCATGAAGGACGATCCCAACAGGCGGAGTGACATGGATAGCGGGGATAGCTTTTTTATTTCTCTGAGGAGTGACCTACCGTTGTTTGATGGATCATCCCTGTTGAATATACACACTTAATCACACATACAGTACATATATATATATATTATATATCATATATATATATATATATTTCATATATGTATATATATATATCATATATATATATATATTATGTATGTATACATCTTCCTATTGCTTATCTATTGGAAATCCCGCAGCTGTTGTTGGTCCATTCATGAACCCAACATCCAGCTAACATTGTGCGACCCGGGTAGATCGTAAACCAAAGAATAGGGCCATCACCAATATCCCAATGATTCACTTCCTTTCTTTTGAACTTTCCATCATGATTTGGGGGATGTGATTGTTATGAGACAACCATTCAAATGTGCTGCTAGGCTGCTAGAAGGGAATGGCCCCCCCAAGGATTGCCGACGAAGTGCCATTGATGCAAGCTTTCCAAGTTTCATTGATGAAACAGCAATGCATTCCAACTCATCAAACATGAATAATCATGATCAATCCCCAAGTAAGTCAATGCACACTCTTTTCTTGATCGGTGCACCCACCAGAAGCATCAAGCCTCCAACGGCAAGGGTAGAGTCTGACGATGATGACTGATGCCGTGGGTAGGTCTGGAGTCTGAACAGCAAAGAGGAGGGGAGACCCCTCGTGGTTTTTATGCGGGGTCAGGCGGTCTATCTCGGCTAGTTTTAGTGAGGATAGCCATGGATAGCCCAAGGTGGGAAGTGTTATTCCTCCACCAGGTTGAGAGGATACCTTGCATGATGGTCCCAAATGACAGCCACGGTGCTGAATTGACGGAACCAGCCATGGTGCTGAAAACAAATAATGCCATGTCAACGGGATGCTTGACCATTTATTCTATCTAGCCTTGTTCCTTGAGTCCGTCGACCTCTAATTCAAAGGCCGTTTTAATGATATTGATGTTATTAGCCATGGATCAAATCCATGATGCCTTTGTTTTCACATTAACATATGGCTATGTGTTATCGACGTTGATTCCTGACAATCATAGATCTTCACAAGTGGCATCCCATACCCATATATCCCATATTGCATCCATATTGCAAGTGCTTATCATTTCTCTTGGTGACGAACTAGAAGGACAGCCCCAAACAGGTGCTGAATCCCATTGATTTGCCTTTGCCGAGTGCTGAATGCTGCGGAAAGATCTGGGGACCACCGGGCTGATGATCCCAGAGTTGGACAGCAATTCCTATGACTGGGTCAACTGTCAACGGTTACTAAAAGTGTAGCCCAAATCCAAAAAAATCAGGTCGCTCGAACTTTAGATGTTCGAATCCACCCAACCAACTTACTTTAGATTGGAAACTGTTCTTAGATTCGATGTTGGGAAAAGTGAAACACAAAATGAAACCATAATGAAGTTGCAGCCAACATTGGCCTAGAGGCCAACCTTCATTGTGTGGTTTGTATCTATATAGTGCATCTATAGATTCTTTCATAAAGGATCATAAAGGTACTCATAGTATCTCAATACAATATGTTTAAGGTCTCCAGTGCATGGATTATCAAACACTATTTTCCAGCCATACCATCCGGGGTTCCGAATATGGATCATCATATGAATCATATTCCTGTAGCTTAACTGAAGGTGTTTTTTCAGTTTTCCCACAATAATTTTACGATTTGGGGAATCTGTAGTGCCGGTAGTTGTTGTTGCTGTAGCTGTTGTAGTTGTTGTAGTTGTTGTCGTTGTCGTTGGTGTGGCCCAAATACTGTCGGATATTGAGATGTCCACATTGCCACCAACAATGGGAATGTTTATGACTTTCAAAATCTAGCAAAATCAACTGGATGAGTGGCTGAGTATTTGTTTGTTTGCTATAGATGTGAATATGTAACATATATATATATTATGTATGTTCATTTATAATATCTGAATATGTATCCATTATTTATGTATGTATATGTATATGCTAAACAGCTTTCAGATGGTATCCATTGGTTAATGCACAATATTTTTCAGGTTGGCCATGTCATTTTTCAACCAATGGTCTACCTTTTTGGGATGAGGATCCCTGATTTACCATGACACCACTGCTGCCATTTCGACTCAAAATGGGTCAAAATGGGTCCCTCGAAATCCGATCCAGGCAGTGACTGAACGCTAAGGGGACTGGAACTACAGTGGTTTCCTCAAAGATCAGGTTATGGTTGGCTGTGAAAGCAGATGAATTACCCTTGAGGCTGCTTCTGGCCTGACATGGCCTGACATGTTCCTGGAGAAACGATACATCATACATGGCCCTGTAAAGCAACTAGACTCGGCTTTTCAGCCCATGGGGCCCAAATCAGACTTCAAATCTTCAAATCCATGTAAAACTATGTAAAACTCCCAATCCATAGGTGATTCAGAACGCTTTTTCCGCCAGGGGCGAGCATGGCAAACATGGCCAGCATGGCAGGACGCAGCTTGGTACGCAGCTTTCATTTGGGTGATCCCAAGAATTTTCAGTGAGTGAAAGCATCAATTGGTGATGTTATATGTTTCTAATTAGTTGTCCAATCATATGCGTATATAGGTTGTGCACATATGTCATCATATGTCTAATTTTATATATAATATATTATAATATTATATATATATATATATATCTATATATATCTATATTTATATATATATATGCGCTTATTAGTTCCATCCAATCCCCTGGAATTCGTTTCTTGTGATGGGATATGTCAGATATGGATTCCGAGGTCATCCAAACGGTCCCACTTTGGCACTTACCGCTCCAAGTAGGGAGATGTGCAAAAAAATATGTTACCCAGCCTATAGTATCCTATAATAATCTCATAGTTTTTTTTCAATAGTTGGTAATATCTCATAAATTGATCCTATTCATTTATATCCCAAACAAATATGGTTAAAGTGTGTTAAACTCATCCCCATATCCAGATATCTGACTCATCCCCCCTTTTGCACCGACCGCACCGGCCAGAGGCACGGGGCCAACGGGAAGCCCGCAGAATTATGCGGCCAATGTATCTTGATTTCACCAAGTTGTTTTTTTCTTCATCCCAAATGGGACAGCAGCATATGGTGATTTGACCATGGTTTTTACCAGCAAAAACACGGGAGAACTGACCAGGGAATGTTGTGGCCTTTGACCTTTAGGATCCTTTAGGCTGCATTTAACCTATAGCTAAACTGTGGCAACGTTGAGCTTCAGGTCATCCCTTTGACAATTTGTCAGGAATGTGGGGTTGCCATTTTGTGTCGTGTCAATCCCCCAGTGGTATCAGTATACCACTACACATCATTATTAGTAGTTATTTGTTCATTATTGTTGTTTGTTATTGTATTTTTTGGGAATCATAGAAAAACATGTTGTCATGATCATTCCCATGATCATTTCTTACATTCTACATGATTTCTCATATGGCTCTCCCTTTTGCCCTGGACGCGTTGCCTGATCCAAGGCAGGAAACACCTTCCGTCAGGTCGCTACGGAACTGGCCAATGAGTTGGGGCCCTCAACGGGGACGACGCGACTGCTGGGGTTGGGATTCCATGGTTTTTCGTTGGGGGTATGTTATGTTTCATGTAGGGTAGATGGATGGTTAAATAATGTTAAATATTGTTAAATTATATATCAATATATGGTCTTATATGCATGCGTTTTTGGAATAATTAGTTGGGACTAGTTGAGTGTAACTGCCCATGGGGTGCCAATAAAATCGCCGGTTATTTTTTCTCGGATTCTTGTGGCAAAACTGATCAACCGGAGGATTTAAATGTTGTCAGAAGAAAAATCGGCTTGGAGGACAGCTGTTGATTTGGGTCATAATTTCGTATTCCACCCCTAACATTATCCATGTTCTTAATGTCTAAGCGTTGGACCCAGCTAGGTCATCAGGGCTCGCACTAAGGCTAGTTGCACAGCTCACACAGGAGCGGTGCGCTGCATTGGGACCTAGGGAGGTAGCCATGGGATGTGTGATGATGTGGGGATATACTCTAGCACTCCAACAGGTGGTCCCAAGCATGTTCCATATATATATATATATATATACATATTGATATAATTTGATGTGCATATATATATTATATATACATACATATTGCTATGCAGGCACAACTAAGATTGGCCACCTATCTGGTCTTAGTGGGATACTAGTTGATTCCAATTGATATTCTTCGGTATACTTCCAGTTGATTGGAATATTAACATTAAATTAATAGTTATATATATATAACATACAGATGTATATATATAATATATTAGTAAGAAATATTCATGGAACCCCTTATTCCTATAGTTGAACATTTTACACAGTCAATCTTTGATCAGTCGAAACTTTCGGTGACCGACGGCCTTTTGTGAGGAGCACACGCGAGAAGTCACTGCAATGTATCAAGAGGCACCGGGGCTGAAGGCACTGGGATGAGATGGGATGGATATGGGACGACAAGTTTGACACACGTCAAAGTTGCTGAGTTTTATCATCTCAAGCATAGCTTTTGGAAATGGATGAATATAATGGATGAAAATCTAAAAGATGATGTATGGATGCATATAATCTAGTAAATCAGATTTGGAATCTAAAGGATCTTTTCAGAACAAGAAAAAATGCGCTCAGGAACTTGCACAATATGACCTCCCTACCCGAAGTTTCTCAACAAAAAAACATTAAGGAAGAAGATGTCCTGCCATCAATTCATGTGTTGGTTTCGCCACAAAGGGTGCATCCATGTGCATCCCTGTGATTCACAAAATGGCGATGTGTTCGCACATGTTTTTCATTAAGGTCGTTTTTGTTCAAGATCAGTAGAAAAAATATGAAAAAATAACCAAACAGATGTGCCACATAATCTCTTCTGTTACTCTTGCTTTTTTTAATATTCACCGGCCACTGCAACATGCAATCGATTGCTAGTCCAAGGACGTTCCCAGAACGAGATCCACCGAGCGAATTTACCGTGCTGAGGTCCTGGTCCTGCGGAGTGAGTTGCAACGTGTGGCCGAGCTGATGCAGGAGCCAAGCCATGCTGATGTTAGGGGAGGATCACTAATGGGACTAATAAATCAACGCATATCAAATATTCATGAGTCATCAAGGGTTAATGTGATGATAAGATAACCCGTTATATCTCCAAATATTGCAAGGATTACCAAGCTAGGTATCAGTGTATGGTACATAATGGGATATATATCAGGATTGGTATGGTTATATGGTAAATCTGGATGAATTTGATCATGACATCACGTCGTGACTTCACTGGAATATGGTGAATGGATAGGGGAATCACCCCCAAATGTCCGTATGTTAATAGCTATTTTTAGGCTAGTGAAGAATTTTAATTCAGCCAGATTTTTTAGATATTACAAGATAGCCCTTGTTGCAGGGAAAACTGATCTTTCCTCTTTATCTACCCATTTTACCACCCAAACGTACTTGTGTTGTTGGGAAGCAACCCTGAGAAATCATTGGGAACATAGCGTTTTCGACTGGCCTGAAACTTCGTGAAAATACATGTTCAATGGAGTTGTTTTCCGGAAACATGTTCAAAACGACCACACAATGTTCACAAGGCAAACAACCTATTTATGATACACTTATGGAAAGTAAGAAATACGAGAACTCCCAGGAAATCTTGGAATGTGTGGGATTCATCGGATGATGAATTTATATGAGTTTATATGAAATTATGCATTGCAACCTATATAATTCTATATATATATAGCTATATATATATAGCTATATATATATATATAGCTATATATATATATGGTCTTCAAGCATGTGAACACATTATTCGCCTAATCATAGGGGAATGTGTTGAGGAAAGGAACATGGATGAGGCTGGTTGGTGGCTATGAAGCCAGTACGTCCCTGACTTTTTCGTGGGCTTATCCCATTGACCAAGTTTTGGAAATGGGTTATAACTATGGCTATAAGTATGGTCATAAAGTTATATCTATAAATAAATAGGATATTTCACTCTGGTCTTTTCACCAGGTTATAACTATGGTTATAACTGCTTATCCCATTTACCGGTTGGTGGTTTGGAACATTTTTTATTTTTCCATTCAGTTGGGAATGTCATCATCCCAACTGACGAACTCCATCATTTTTCAGGGGGTAGGTATACCACCAACCAGATTTACAACTATGGTTATAAGTATTATAAAGTTATGATTTGAAATTCATGGGATATTTCACTATGGTTTTTTCACCAGGAACTATGGTCTTTTCACGTTATAACCACTGGGATGATCTGATCCTCCAGGGCTACATGCAACGAGAACGGCAGCTCCATGTCGCTGGGATGCACATTGGAGCTACACCGCAACGAAAAACAAGGCCTATGTGAGGGGACACACTCTGACAAAATGTGGATTTCTTTGGTGTACCTTGATTTTGTCCTGATTTTCCCATCGACTTGTTTGGGTTTGCTAGCTAGAAACCATGAGGGTTCCACGAAACATGCTCCAAAAAGTGGAGGGCGGAACACCTAATTCCCTCCATTTCTTTACTGCAACTAACTCTCACGAGCTAATTCACTGAACGATATGATGCTGTTTTTTGGGACATGGCCACAACCGGCCTGTTGCATGTAGCAAACTGTTGCATGTTCTGTTGAGGTCAGATGAGCTTTTCACCCAGAAGTTTCGCTTTCAATGTATTCAATGTGTGCAAAGAAACCATAAGAAACCGATTTTGTAAGATTTTCCAGGGTTGATGCTGGTCTGCATGTGGCAGTTATCGCGGGCTGCACGTTTGTCCCAAGCGCTCTAAAATGCTCTAAAAGAATCGGCACGCTGAACTCCCATGAGCACTGTGGCGCAAAAGAAACGCTGGAAATTTCTTTGCGCAACCACTTCGCTCTTGGGTTTTGTTGTGTTCAAATTCGCTTGGTTATAGTTTGGCAAGTATCTATACGCAAAGCACTCACACAATAGAACATAGGAACATAGATGTGTGTGTGTGTACATAGTATAATACAATAAAAGATTAGAATATGATATGATATACACTATATATAATATAATGTAAGATATTATGATACATTATGATATGGTTTAATTTAGTATGGTACACAATGATATAATATAACGTAATATAGTGTACTATAATATAATGTAATGTATGTTAATATAATATATATATAGTTTAATGTAATCTAATAATCTAAAATGATATAACCTAATATTATATATGTAACATTACATAATTATCTATATATATATACATTCATGGATGTTCCATAGTAAATTGTTTTGAGTGTATGTTTTGCAATGTCAGCCCCACTGTCACTGTAGGTGGCATGTAATTACATGATGCTGTTCTTCTTGTGTGGCAATCAAAACCGACCTCAGATTCGGACCAGCAACGATTGACACATGTTGATGTCATCCTTCTGATGTCCTTTTTCTCGCAATTAATTTTCAAAAGGCAACATTTATCTGTTGTTATCATTGTTTTCAAAAAAGTGGAGTGGAACAGTAAATGACTTCACTGAATGACCCTCTCCCATTTGCAAGCCGTGAATTCTCTCAGGAAATGATGGATCAGCTTACAAATACCTACCAGGAGGCTGACCTCCAAATTCTCGCACCGGGTAAACGGATGGACTGTTGACGACAGCTTCGAGTTCTTGTTTTGGTGATATGAACTTGGGAAGAAACCATGAGCATATGCAGCATACCCTACAGGCCCTACACATATGTGACAATCATCAACAGTAACAAAGCAGACAGACTAAACCAACTTTGACACTGCAGTCTTTGCGCGAATCACTCAATGAAATCAGAAGTTTGATTGTAACATGGGTTGATCCTCTTCCAAATTGGGCCTCTAGCTATAAATGGCTATACCATGGTATGAACCATTGATACAAACAGTACTTACCTATATTCCTTCTTAGGTTCTTGTCCACCAGAATTCGTAGTGTTTTTAATGGGGATAAATTAGTCTAGTGGTACAAACCTACAGGAACCATTAGTGGTGGTTGATGGCCCCCAACTGGTTGACCATTGGGGATGGTCCCTCCCAATATCCACCACGTTGTGCTCCAATTAACATGGCATTGAAATCGTTGATTTGAGTTGGGTTCCGGCTTTCTTTCGTCCCTGAAAGGGGAGGAGTTGGGCAGCCATTTGAGGTACAAAATGAAAACATGTTTCTCATAGAGCCATACATTACATCCGCGACCATCAAGCAACATGTAGGGGGTGCCAATCATCAACCATCATCCGGTTGAACGTCAAGCAATCAATTTGGTTTAGTCAAACTCCGGAAGTGAAAACGATGATGAGAACGCACACAAACATACGCACTTTCCCATCTGACCTTCTGCCACGGTTTTCCACACCTGTGGCCAATCTGCAAACACTCTGCATCACGTCTGAGCAGTCCAGCGATTTGTTTGCACTGGCAGCACGCCCCAAATGTCCCAATCTTGCAGCCCTGAAGGTGCAAAAAGGGACAAGCGGATGGGTTGCAAACCCTTGGCAACTACGAGATGTGACGATTTCCAAAAAATAACAGCATCAATAACATACTGTATATCGGAAATTATAGGAAGCACCAAAAAGATAGAACAGTAAAAATCTACTGTTGGATTAGTGGTACATTGCTTTTCCAAGTTTTTGGGGATTGCTTTTTCCATAGTGATACACAGTGGTATCTAGGATAGGCAGATGGGGTTGCAGCTAGTTGGATACACTTGGGATGAACCTCCAGCCTAGCTATTCTGGTTAGTGAATTATAGGGTACCAGGTTATATTAAATGGTTAGTGATGTATTACCATCTGGTTATTTAACATAGCCATGGAAAATCACCATTTTTAATAGGTAAACCATCTATAAATGGGCCATTTTCCATGGCTATGTTAAATAACCAGAGGGTAGATGGTAGATGACCATGATTATGATTTTAATTGATATTCACTGGATTTACGTTGATTGACTTGAAATATTCTAGTCGTATTTTGAGCCGATCAATTTTTACAATCATTGTTACAGTTTTACAATCAGTCGAACAATATCTAGATCAATCGTTATATTAATTAATTTATGCATACATATAATATAATATAATAAAATATAATATAATATAATATAATTTAATATAATTTAATACAATACAATACAATATAATATAATATAATATAATATAATAATATATATAGATAGATAGTACGCCAAAACAGAACATTCATAGAAAAGTCATTCCGTAGCATAAATAGCAATAATCGCGGTTGCTATACATATACACACATAGCCATCCTTTGTACGTCCTCCTCCTGCAGGCTCCAGCAGCGCCTTGGGTCATGGTCTATGGAGCGTGTTTTGTTTTGGGGGGGAAGCGATAAGGGCAATCATTTGCTTATGGTGTTCGTTTTTTTTAGATGATATAGCCTGATATATAGCATTTATTTGTTTATGGATAAATATGACAATGTCCTCGTTCGCCAGGGTATCAGGGTTTTGAGGTTCAATCATGTTCAAACCATCAAGATTAGGGTTCAGGCTCAACCAATAAATATATAGGGTTTGATTTGTTAATGTCAAAGAACCGGTGTTATACAAGAACCAATGGTATCCATGCATATCCAAGCCAAAACATCATCAACCACTGCGCAACTCAGTAGACATACTCTGTATATAATACACACATATATATATATATACACACATCTATTCATGATGTACACGCATGAATTTTGAACTTGATGTTTTTTTTTGTTTTCCCCATGACTTTCTCTGGTCATCATTGTGTTAGTGGCCTGGCCGAGGTGAAGATGACGCAGCTCCGTCAGGTGTCAAGGACTTTCTTCAGCGCACCGCTGCTTGGGCCACTGGGACGCCACTGGCATAGGAGTAGATTCGTAGATAGATACCTATATATATGATATATATGATATATAATTATGTATATACATATATGTGATTTATGTGATCATAGATTAAGTCATCTATATCTAATCATATGTGTATATATATATTTATATATTGTGTATGTAATTATATATATATATATCAGTAATTTAGAGATGCATATATATATATATCAATAATTTAGAGATGCATATATATATATATACATAAATAACGATAATTACATTAAACCGATAAAGAAACAGATACCCAAATTGCTATCGCCAAAAGCATCGCCAAGGCCAAATCGCATCCCTTGGGTCAAGCCATGAAGCGAAGTGAGAGCTCCAGTTCCTCCGACGAAGCTGAAGGCAGGGGACTCCATGGATGTAACCACTGGTAAACATACAAAAGCTATTGAAAATGGCCATTTATAGTTGATATACCCATTAAAGATGGTGATTTTCCATAGTTATGTAAACGTTTACCAGGCCGGGTACTGGATATTTTCCGCGTTTTTTTTGCCCAACGATAAAACTGGAGAATCTGAGGTTATCACTGGATGTTTTGGGAGAATCTTGATTGGATTTCATGTGCAGTACCCTCTGGTAATTTAACATAGCTATTGAAAATGGCCATAGAAATAGTGGATTTACCCACTGAAAATTGTGATTTTCCATAGCTATGTAAGCGTTTACCAGGCCGGGTAATCTTATTTTAATCAACAACGATCATGATGGAGAATTTAATTAATGATACTAGCCTCCTGATACTTCTCCGATAGTATCCATATGATGTTTATTCATGTTCCCCCATTGGAGTTAATCAACTAGCTCCAATGACTATCATTAATTTACCTTCCTGGCTCGAAAATCCACCAAATCCACCATAAAGATGATGATTTCCCCATATTTTCAGACCTCTATATGAAATCCTATATTTTTTTATAGCAGAATTTCCCATATGTCCCCATATGATCCCATATTTTCCATTCTTTTCCCAGGCTTTTGCCAGCTATGGACCCCTCCATGGCTGGGGCGTTCCGGGCCACCGGAGACTAAGCCCGGCCCCTGCGGTGCCAGGCTTCCGGCTGAAGGGAAGATCCGCCTTGCGGCGCGCCGTGAAGGCTGGAGCAAAGGGGGAAATTCACCCAAAGAAACCATGGGATTTCAGGAATGGATAGTGGATATGTTTTTACATATATAAATATATATAATTGTATATAATAAGTATCTATATATATATATGTGTGTGTGTACGTGTATGTATATGTATGTATATACATGGAGATGTCCATAAATGGGGATCCCAAAAATGGATGGTTTCTAACCGACGATTCTACTAAAATGGAGTTGGGAGGACTCCCATTTCAGGAAACCTCCACATATATACTAAAAATCATCTTGAAGTAGATAGACACATATATACATATGCCACATATGCATACGGAGATGGATGGATATTTATTCCCTGTAGGAATATCCATGTGAACCAAAATGGAGATAATTGGATGCAGCAAAGGGTATGAATAGATGATTCGATCCCATGATATTTCTCCATCTCAATTGGGAACCAATCATTTTCTTGAGGACCTTCTTGGGAAGATCACGGGAATACAAACGATATGACATGGGTTTACTCCAAATTCTGGCCATCAAACGATGGGCAAAATAAACACTAGCCATGTGATTCAATTGTGCACCATATTCTTGGGCAAACACATGTGTATATATATATATACCCCAAGACAGGCAAATAGAAGTCGGAAAACCATAAGAATTGAACGCTCGCTGAACATGGATTTATTCTCACCACACCTGTAAATCCAAAGATATGAAAGGTGGAACCGCTGCTCAGGAGCGGAAGGCCATTGAAGAAGTACGAAGGGCAGCTTGGCATGTTTTCATTTTTCTCGGATCCCCAGCAGCAAGATATCTAGGTGTTAGAAAGAATTGGACAATTCATCATTGTTTGTTGGATGGCAATGAAATACTGTTGATCTTTCAAGTTTTATATAGTTGTTCCCTGCGCCGATCCAATCAATTGAGCTATATTTTTGCCACAGTCAATCCCAATCAATTGAGTGATACTCTTGGAATTGGCTGAAATCACCGACGGGTATACACATTATAATATAATACTGTACGAAGTGGTGCAGGATTTTTTTCCATCCACAGTAGGTCAAACATGTGACCCTTTGCTGCTCAAAGAGTGGAACAGATCCACTCAATTCTGCTGACATATTGCAATTATTTGCAAGTCATAGGATGATAAGAAGGACTGTGATGGGAATAGTCAGAGTCATGGTGATAATGACGATTATTATTGGGTTTTCCACTCTGTGTGTGTGTATGTGTGTACATGTATGTATGTAATGTAATGTAATGTAATGCAATGCAATGCAATGCAATGCAATGCAATGTAATGTAATGTAATGTAATGTAATGTATGTATGTATGTACAACAAGGGCCCTCACTGACGACAGCTAGTTTGCAACCGTCTGGCGACCCCTTTTTTTGGAACCGGGCGTGGCCTCAGTCTTGTCTGTATAAGGGCTGGCTACACTGAATGAGAATCGCATTCCCTTCTAGCCATTCCCGATCTTCTGCAGCGAGCTGCTCCAGTTCGGTGGTCCAGACATTGGATGTGACAATGAGAGCGACATTCCAAACCCAGATGCGATAAACATACATGCGTGTCGCCGAGTGCCCAAGTGAAATTTCGGCAGGCGGCGCCTGAAACAATTTTTTGTGCTTCAAGACAAGATGGGCACTAGCTTCATCAAACACCACACACCGGTGCCGTAGCACATCATATTCCCTCATGTCGGGCTCCAACACCCCAGAACAATTGGTTTCATACGTGTGATCTGCGCCAAAGAGAGACCGTGCATAGACAGTCTTCCCCAGGCGCGTTGGGCCATTCAGCACCAAGAATTTTCGGCGATGCATAGGCCGCGTGAACTGTGGCAAGAACAGCTGCGTCACTTCTGGTAGTTCCACTGGCTCTTTCTGCAGTGGGCGCAAGAGCTCTGCTGCAGCAGCCTGCTGCTGCTGAATGTACAGCTCCCGTTGTTTCTGGCCATGGTACTTCAGGTTCTCACAGTAAGCACGAATGTTGCGCTTGCATTGGACGTAGTGCTGCTCGGCACACTCCTTGTTAATCTTATCCCCCTGCCAAAGTCCAGTCACCCAGTCGGGGCTCACTGTGAAAGTCTGGTATGCTGGGCAAGTGGTCTGGCGAAAAATGGACCCTTTCTTCTCCACTTGGAGATAAAAGTGCCCTTGATCCAGTGCACGACGGACTGACCGCCCACGAGCCTGCGAGGAATCCAAGGAGATGTGCGGCTTGCACCCACGAAATGCCAAACTTTGTCCAGACAGATGCACTTGTCGCCCTGGCCGCAACATGCGGGTGCATGGGCCAGGAAGGTACGGTGCTAGAGCCTATCTGGTTCTGTTAGCCATCAGAACCAAACATGAAACAGGACCGAAAAGTATGGGGAAGGTGCGTCCTCACATTGGGCTGCGAAAAAGAATGACTGGCACTGGGAATGAAAGAAAAAATGACATGATTCAGGCTTGCGAGAGAGGTGCCCGCATTGCTGCCGAGTCGCGGGTGTCAAACATCATGTGCAAGTGAATGGAAGGCACTCTGCGTTGCAGCGTCACCTCTGTGTGGAGCTCCAGGGCGGTGCTGACCCGTTCAAAGCGGTACTTGTTGCCGAGCTCGGTCATCCAACTTTGAAAGTCATCCCAAATGGCAAGCACCTGCGGTGCGTTTCGTAGGCCGGCACTGAGCAGATCAATGTCGACAGATGGTCCTGCCGCAAGCAGGTCCAAGGAAGGTTGATGCTCAATCATGCTAAAGGAGCCACTGTATCGGAACATAGTACCAGTGCCCTTGTATGCTTGCGGCGATGGCTCGTTGACAATCGGCTCTTCGACATGCCACCCTGCCAGTAGGTCACGTGCAGCACGTGCAAACTTCACAGGAATTTGCGGCAACATGTCGCGCAAAATCTGCGGCCTGTCGGCTTGTGCAAATGAAGCTCTCCACCGCTGCCGCTTGGCGTGTCCGTGCTCATTCCGAGCGGCCATTCGCTGCGCAGCCCATTTGTCGCGCAGCCATATCAGCAGCTGCTTGCGTGCCTCCCGGTCAGGGGGGCCGTCTGGCGGCGGCTGCTTACCACAGAGTCGCCGTCGGACAGGCATGGCGGCACTGTGGCTCAATGATCATGTTCTTGTTTTGCTGCGTGACATGAAGGGGCCCTCATGGGAAGTTAATACCCTGGCAGCTAAGCAGTCGATGACAAAGCGACCGTACAATGAACAGCATGCAATGCCTCACCATGCTCTGTCTGGATGTGGGCACGGCGGCGGCACCCAAACAGCAGACCAAGCCTGCTCGCAGGCATGAGGACAAGCAAGCTTCCCATAGAGGAGCAGGAGATAGACGCGTCAGTTCTGGACATTGATGAGTTCAAATTGGTTATAAATGGGAGTCTATAAGGTCGAAATGGGGTTATGACTACTTATAACTGGTGAATGGCCATAACTGGTATAATAGCTGGTCTTTCACAGAGTGCAATGCACAAGAGCGGGCCAAAGAAAAGACTACAAGGCAAACAAGTGTGGGCAGCGGCTCAGCAGCTTTGTTTTCGTCAAGTACGCACGGACTTTCCGCGCCACTCGAGACTGTTGTCCCAGCGCTTGCATGGCTGAAAAACCTTGGCAGGAGCATGGAGAGGACCAAGCGACGGGTATGGACTGCGACAAAACCCAGACGACAGCACGGACAGGATCGGTCGGAGGACCGCGGAGGACCAAGCAACGGGAAAAACTATGGAAAAACGGGGGCAAAAATGGCGGTCCTCCAAATCCGCCTCTGGGAGAATAGAATTATTTGTAGCTACAAGCGAGGTTGGAGGACCATGTTGAAGCATGTTGTTCTGTGTCGCCACCATTCTAAAGGTGTCCCTTCCCACAGGCATGGTGCTTTTCTTCCTCCTCTGGGTCTACAGACCTATACATACATATCTATACCTACGTAGATATATCTTTTCATCGACATTATATTATATATATATACATACCTTTCTCTCCATGTCTTTCTCTATCTCTCTATCGCTCTTTTATTCTCGATCTATATATATCTCCATATACATGTCTATCGCTATCTAGAATCGGTACTAGAATGAAATACTCTAATGACCGGAAAGCGGGATCTTGAGCACTTTCATGCTGACAGCTTTGAACCAGGTAAAACCAAAAGACTGATCTTTATGTGCACATCTCCTGTTTTTTTTCAAAATGCAGCATGGCATTGAATGCTTGAAATTCCCAACGCGAAGCATTGGCTTTTCGAACCGGATCACGAACAGTCCCGATCACCGACTTGCATCTCGAACATTCTTTTCCTTTCGACCCGGATCACGAACATTCCCGATCACCGACTTTCATCTCGACCATTGTATTGAAAAGTGAAACGAACGCATTGGGATGAGGAAGCGACCAGTTTCATATCAGCCACCTCCTAAAAAACTAGTCTTGTACGCATTTTATTTCGAGGTCTCTATTCTCCAAATCACATGTCTATCTAGATCGATATAAGGCTTTCTGGGGTATGTTCCGACTTGTCTTTTGTAAAGAATCCACCTTGAAGTCGTTTCAAAGTTCTTCAAACCTAAAGTTTTGCGTTTGGCAAAGCTCAGCTGTGTCTCATAGATTTTCTGTCCGCGTCTCCTAGATTTTATTCCAGTCATTATCCCCTTTGGTGGTTTTGGATGGATAGGGCAATTCAGGCATCAACATTCCTTGAATTGGGCAATCCATCCTTTAGGGGGTCATTACACTCCCAAAAATTAGCATAACCCCAAAAATATTGTCGCGGATGAGATAGGGAGGTTCCCGGTTCAACCAACCCTTATATAATATCCAGCAACCAAGCTATCTAATCCGCTGGGGGGGTTCCTACACCGATTTAATCAAATGGGGGTGTGCTTCGAAGTTGCTACGCACGGAGCGGTTCGCTCCCCCCAATTGACCAAATCAGTTCCTAATTATATAATATTCTCTTATATTAATATATGTATATACAAATATATGTACGTACGCATCTATCATCCCATATCATCTTTGACATTTGCTGTCATGAAACATTGCAATCCCAATAGTTCACTCACCTGCATGGTTTGGCCATTTGGGGATGATTGAGGTCGTTATCATTTACCCTTTTCCGACAATCTACTAATTCATGCAAGCACCCTCATTTTGCGGATGCTAGACCTGGGAACTGGGTGTCATGCTGGTTGGTTACCCATCAAAAGTGGTGGTCGAACCGGGGAAGATTGATAGACCTCAACAGCGTTTTACCGTCTGGTAAATTAACATAGACCGTGGGAGATAGGGATGGAAGACTAGTTGCCATTAAACCTTGGTGATTTTAAGGGTCTATGTTAATTTACCAGTGGGTAAATCACTTTAACCATATAGGGATTCGCCAGTCATTTTTTATGGTGGTGCACCGCGGTTGACCATTGGGGATTTATCAAACGATGGGCTTATATCATTGATTGAGCCTTATGGGTAACTGGCGAGAAATCACCATCAAACATGGGAATTTAACATGAACCAAGAAACCAAGGGTACAATTGCTAGATGTAGAGTCACTTCCCCCCTGGACAGGCAGCTGCACCATGTGCCCAGATGCAATGTGGCACAGCACCAGCCGCCAGCACCAGGCGCAAAGGCCCCAGAACGGCAGCAGCATCGCCAGGTCGTGCACGCACCAGGCGCAACGGCCGCAGCGCACCAGCATCCATCGCTGCCGCCGCAGCAAGAGAATGTTAAATCACTGACAGGATACGGCGTG